GGGGGGGGTGGGGTGGGGGTGGTGTGTGTGGGGGGGGGGTGTGGGGGGTGGTGTGTGTGGGGGGTGGTGTGTGTGGGGGGGGGGTGGGGTGGTTTTAGTTTAGACTTATTCCTCCCCGGAGAGGGGTGGGGGTACTTGAAATTTTCGGGGGCGGGGGTAGAATTTTCGGGGAGGGGCGGACACTGGAAAAAGTATATAATTATATTTCGTTGAATGGGACGGTAGACATGTTTTTTAGGGGGGTGGGGGGTGTTGGGGGGTGGGGGTGGGTTGGTTTTAGTTTAGAGAAAAGAGACAGCACAATCAACCTAGCGCCCGGTGTATCCTTCCTCAACGGGCCATTTTTCTCGTATATATTATAATACTAATAGTTTCGCTGTCTGTCTATCTATCTATCTATCTGACAAGAACGCTCTAGAGAAAACACAAGGAAAATAAAAACATGCATAGTAATTTGAAAAACGAAGTATGATGTCGACACATTTAGCACAGAGTAGAAAATAGTCTCAAGCCGGATAGTGCACAAATTAATATGACGTCATTGATTATCGAGTAAACATTCAATACAAAGGCAATTTGGTCTAATCTAAGTGGTTTGCGTGAAGAGTTTCTTTCATACAATTCTTCGGGTAGGGGCGAAGCCCCACCCCCGCGTAAGAACGTCTGAGCCCCCCCCCCCCTCCCTAACTCAAAAGAAATTTCTTCATCGATACTCTATAATAAAATTATCGCCTAATTAATGTGTCTAATCTAAAAAGTGGTTTTCTTGCAATTTCTTTAATGCAATTCTTCGGGTGGTGGCTAAGCGCGACACCAGTGTTTCTTTCAGACTTTTTCCTCCCCGGAGAGGGATGGGGGTATTTGAAATTTTCGGGGGCGGGGGTAGAATTTTCGGGGAGGGGGCGGACACTGGAAAAAGTATATAATTATATTTCGTTGAATGGGACGGTAGACATGTTTTTTTTAGGGGGGGGGGGGGTGGTGTGTGTGTGGGGGGTGGTGGTGTGTATGTGTGGGGGGGTGGTGTGTGTGTGTGGGGGGGTGGTTTTAGTTTAGACTTTTTCCTCCCCGGAGAGGGGTGGGGGGTACTTGAAATTTTCGGGGGCGGGGGTAGAATTTTCGGGGAGGGGGCGGACACTGGAAAAAGTATATAATTATATTTCGTTGAATGGGACGGTAGACATGTTTTTTTTTAGGGGGGGGGGGGGGTGGGGTGGGGGTGGTGTGTGTGGGGGGGGGGTGTGGGGGGTGGTGTGTGTGGGGGGTGGTGTGTGTGGGGGGGGGGGGGTGGGGTGGTTTTAGTTTAGACTTATTCCTCCCCGGAGAGGGGTGGGGGTACTTGAAATTTTCGGGGGCGGGGGTAGAATTTTCGGGGAGGGGCGGACACTGGAAAAAGTATATAATTATATTTCGTTGAATGGGACGGTAGACATGTTTTTTAGGGGGGTGGGGGGTGTTGGGGGGTGGGGGTGGGTTGGTTTTAGTTTAGAGAAAAGAGACAGCACAATCAACCTAGCGCCCGGTGTATCCTTCCTCAACGGGCCATTTTTCTCGTATATATTATAATACTAATAGTTTCGCTGTCTGTCTGTCTATCTATCTATCTGACAAGAACGCTCTAGAGAAAACACAAGGAAAATAAAAACATGCATAGTAATTTGAAAAACGAAGTATGATGTCGACACATTTAGCACAGAGTAGAAAATAGTCTCAAGCCGGATAGTGCACAAATTAATATGACGTCATTGATTATCGAGTAAACATTCAATACAAAGGCAATTTGGTCTAATCTAAGTGGTTTGCGTGAAGAGTTTCTTTCATACAATTCTTCGGGTAGGGGCGAAGCCCCACCCCCGCGTAAGAACGTCTGAGCCCCCCCCCCCTCCCCAACTCAAAAGAAATTTCCTCATCAATACTCTATAATAAAATTACCGCCTAATTAATGTGTCTAATCTAAAAAGTGGTTTTCTTGCAATTTCTTTAATGCAATTCTTCGCGTAGTGGCTATGCGCGACACCAGTGTTTCTTTCAGACTTTTTCCTCCACGGAGAGGGGTGAGGGTACTTGAAATTTTCGGGGGCTGGGGTAGAATTTTCGGGGAGGGGGCGGACACTGGAAAAAGTATATAATTATACTTCCTGGGGGGGGGGGTGGGGTGGTTTTAATTTAGACTTTTTCCTCCCCGGAGAGGGGTGGGGGGTACTTGAAATTTTCGGGGGCGGGGGTAGAATTTTCGGGGAGGGGGCGGACACTGGAAAAAGTATATAATTATATTTCCTTGAATGGGATGGTAGACATGTTTTTTTTTTTTGGGGGGAGGGGGTGGGGGGTGGGGGGGGGGTGTGGTGTGTGTGTGTGTGTGGGGGGGGGGGGGGTGTGTGTGTGGGGGGGGGGTGGGGTGGTTTTAGTTTAGACTTTTTCCTCCCCGGAGAGGGGTGGGGGTACTTGAAATTATCGGGGGCGGGTGTAGAATTTTCGGGGAGGGGGCGGACACTGGAAAAAGTATATAATTATATTTCGTTAAATGGGACAATAGACATGTTTTTTTTTGGGGGGGGGGGGGGGGTGGTGTGTGTGAGTTGGGGGGGTGGTGTGTGGGGGTGGGGGGTGGTGTGTGGGGGGGTGGGGTGGTTTTAGTTTAGAGAAAATAGACAGCACTATCAACCTAGCGCCCGGTGTATCCTTCCTCAACGGGCCATTTTTCTCGTATATATATATTAATGTATGAAAACCAAACATTCCATAGAATACCTAAGGCAATGTATACAATCTCTGGCATTTTCAGGCTAAGTATAGAATTTTAATGTTCTTATATACTTTATTATATAAAATGCCTACGCATTGTATAGAATGACAAGAATTTCTCAGGCAAAGTGTGAAATGCCCAGATTGCTAAAGTATTATGTAACATACAGACAAAAAATGAAATATCTAAACCTAACAAAGGTACAGGATTGATCTGGTGAGAAAGCGTATTCTAAACTCTGCCTATTTGTTATTGGGTATTCTATAAGATGATTAGGGAATGTATAAAATACTGATGTATCTTATACTTTGACAATCCATTTCAGGCATTATACACACTGCCTACGTATTCTGACGAATGGCATAACACTGCCTATTTATTCTATAGAATGCTAGATTTAACACTTTGCCCGTAACATAGTGGCCTGTATATAAAACATGTAGCATATATACATACATATATATATATATATATATATATATATATATATATATATATATATATATATAAATATGTGTGTGTGTGTGTGTGTGTGTGATATGAAATTTCGACTCGACAAAATGACTCCCGACATATAGGCTCTAGACAAATTGTGTGGCCACTATTGGCATAGACCTATAGTTATTTTGTACAACACACCAACCACACGTTGTTTCTACCTCCACTACCACCATAATCTCTTTTAAATGCCAGAATGAATAACTTTTTATGAACCAACAGCATTCATGTGATTGTATTCTAAAGATAAATATACAGCATGGACCTGTCTCCCCACACATTGAGTTGGAACAGCCCACAACCCACTCATTCGATGGACGTCATAAAACTAGATAACCCTTAAATTAAAAATTTCTTATACTAGATAAAACAATGTAAAAATAAGGCCTGCCGACTAAGAACAACATACGTTGTAGGCCCTATTTAGTATTTACCATATTTTTAAGGGTGTTAGATCAGCTAACTCTGAAAGAATATTGATGAAGCAATTCTACTGGCTATGTCATATTCAATTGGGCTGTTTTGCCGGGAGACTTAGTCTCTATGGGACATGGGCCCTTTTGTCAGGAGTCTATTCGTCGGAAACCTTATTGACGGAGCCGATATGACGGCAGTCCGTTTGTCGCTGGCCCTTTTGATTAGATAGATTTGATGGGGTTGTAATGTCGGGGCCCTTTTATCGCTGGCCGTTTTGATCATTCCTTGTTTTTAGAAACTGATCAGTGTACTAGTCTAGTGTACTTCATGACTTACTTAATGTTGACCGAGCTCAATAAATACTTTTGGAAAATAACGCTTTTTTAAAAAATTGCTATTTTAAGGTAGTGTTAAGTTGCATTTTGAAGTCATTTTAAATGTGTGAAGTTTACAGATGACTCCCAAATGATGGAGAGATCTAGAATCTAGATCTAGATCTTAAGCTGTTGAGTAGATCAACTGTTCAACACATTGATAAAAAGTATAATTATAATAAAACTAGCAAATCCTAATTTAGATTATTATTTTTTACTCGAGCGCTCAGTAAACCGAAACCCAATTCTAGCGGTTAAAAATACAGAATCTAGATCTTGGTAAATAAATTAGAACTATACGAGTACTTTACTATGGCGGATGCTGGGCTGACTTTTATGTGTAACTCTAGCTAGATTCTAGATCTAGATCTCAATAGATCTAGGCTAGCTAGATCTAATATTACTAGATCTAGATCTAATAATTAATCATAATAATGAATCCTGGATCTAGATGTAGATCTATATGTATGTAGATCTATGGCTTAAATCTACGTGTAATGATCAATTGTCAGCAAAGTTTTGAGTTTCTGGATAGTGATAGGGATAGTGCTGACTTCCCTCAGACTTCGTCTTTGACTTTGTGGGTGATTAAGAATAAGAAATTTAATCTGAAATTAAGATTATTTTATTTCTCTGTAGATCTAGATTGTAGAATCTAGATCTAGAAATCTAGATCTAGAAATGTTAATGTGAAAGAATGGTGATGATAGACACTCAGACAGTCTACTGAGTCTAGCTAGCTAAGTAGTAAGTAAGTAGCTAGGGTCACTGTGAACTCACTGTGAGTTCACTTTGGACGTCATAGCAAGACCATTGACTAATCTGTTACTAGATCTAGATCTATTCAAGCGTACTACAACGCATGCAAGATATTAATTATTAGTCTTCAAGAAAACTGGCCAGGGAGTTGTAGACTGTAGCCTTATGAAATGAGCTATTTTATACAATTTTTGTTTTTTGTAGTCCTCTAAATTCCAATTAAGTTTAACAGAAAATAAATAAAAATAAAGCACATTTTTACAATATTTACATGCACGCTCAACATTCGCTCGATCAGAGTTTATACCATAGGCTATATAAATATAGACCGAACGACTCGCGTTCGCCATAACATTTGTCAGGAATGATATCGGGTATTTAAAGCAAGATCTCAATATATCATTTAGAATTACAAGAAAAAAACACAACAGAAAATATATATTCTGCATCTTAAAAAAATTATTGTTTAACTAAATCGTAACAATTTTATTGGCTGGTCCGAATAGTGGCCATTGCTATTGGGATCCGGGTCCAAATAGATGCATCCGTAGAATAACCTAGATAAATCAGAATCTAGATCTAGAATCTATATTTTAGTAATTATTTCCCAATTTTACGAGGATCATCTTTTTAAAGTTTAAAGTTATTTATTTTGTAGACCTATTAAAAATATGAGTATAATAGGCTGCTAAACTATTGGATTCTACACTGCTGTTTAAATAAAAAGTTAATTTAAATAGGCCTAATTGCATTTGGTTTATTATTCATTTATGTGTTATATATAGAGTCCTGCTTGTACTATAGCTGTATATTTGTATAACTATAAACTATAAATTAATCAATTCTCTCACATTACTAGGTTTGGATTATTGTATGGTCCTAACTACAATGATAGATTACCCTTTTTTTTTTGTTATTTCCACCTTCAGTCGCCAACCAATGAAACACGCGTTCCCTGTTCTTTAGTTAACGTGTAAACACAACGTTTTTGGAGCTAAAAGGGGCAGAAAAGGCAAATTTTTCCTCAGTTTTACTATATGTAGTTTGGATTTTTTTTATGTTTGTTCAAAATGGGCAAAATATGACCCCTAAAAATGTTTTTTATTGCAGACAGATGCTGAAACTTTTAATTAACAATTTATGCAAGCTTTCTGTTGCCGCCTAAAATAAATAGGTAAGGCTTGTTATACTGTTACATTTGGGATTAGCTTTTAACAGCAGAAACAGTAAGAAACAGGAGCCTTATTATTCAAAACTCATGATAAAAACTGATGTTTTTCTTTATTTCATAGGACTTAAACTTCTTGTAAAATTAGTAGGGATATACAAAATACTTGTATTCTAAACATGTCTTCCATAAATGTTCTGCTCATAGTATATAAAGCAGAGAAGTAAATAATTTACATAAGTAGAGAAGTAAATAATTTACAGAAGTTACCTGCTTTCATATTATTTCCTTGCAGGATGGATAACATAAGCCTAGAGAGTAGTACAGGCTCTGGCGATGGTAAAGAATCTAATTGTCAGCTTACAAGCCAGGACCATACCAAACAGCTCATTGTGAACATTGATCAAATGAGGACAGATTCCAGCTATTCAGATATAGTTATAATTATTGAAGACTACAGATTTCCTTGCCATAAAGTTAGTTGTTTAAAATACTTATTTTTTTTTATGCTAGCTAGGATCATATAAAATCTGTTTTGAATGTTAATTTTATTTTCTTTGAACAAAGTAGTTCTATTGTTTTAATCCCTTTCTACTGGTCATGCAAGCTTAAGTGTGAACCTGCACAAAAATTAAGACAAAAAGAATTCATCATTTGAAGACAGAAAAGGCTGCAAGTTGTACAGATAGAACAATGTTTGCTCCAACTGACCATAGTTAACCACCCCACTCATAGTATGGGATAAGGGTGACAACACATAATTTTTTTTTCAAATAATGACATATAATTCAATGTTAGTCTGTGATTGTTTAGTGGCTGATCAATGCTAACTTCCTTGTCAACCTCAGAATGCAAGTGTGTGGGTTTATGGGGGGGGGGGGGGGGCACTAGGTAACAATAGAATATTTGCTTGTATAAGTTGTGTGCCCCCCTCCCCAAAATATATACTTCAACCAGCATCTGCCAGCCCCAGGAGAAAAAATACCTGAAAGAAATTCTGTAGATGACATTATATCTAGTACTTTACCGTAATAATCAATTTTTCACAGAAAATTAAAATTATCTCTATCCATCTCACAGAGCAATTAGATACCTTAAACAATACTTTCTACTGTAAGTAGTGTAAGCAACCCATCAAGAGATCTATGGTCAAAGACAGAAGTGTTGAATGCACATCCACAAAGTCTGCAATGATGCAAATAATTTACTTCTTAGATTTGTTTCAATGTTGAAACTTAAAACTTGACATTCCTATATAGAGTAATGGAAATATAATGGTTCAAATAGCAGTCTATAATTCATACAAAAATTGTTTTCTAGGTCATACTGGCTGCTGGATCTCCTTACTTCAAATCCATGTTTGCTTCTGGGATGGAAGAGAGTCGCAAGAAAGAAATTGAAATAAAGCAGATAGACCCAAGCGTGTTTGGGCTTGTCATACTGTTCATTTACACTGGGAATGTTGAAATCTCATCATCCACTGTACAGGAATTGTTTATTCAAGCTCAGCTTTTTCAGGTATGTGATATAACACCATTGACTTAAGAAAGTAATTAAACAATTATCTTCTGAGATCTGGGGTTGTTTATTTTGATTCTGTGAGCTCTGACTCATTATTAGTTGAGAACCTGTTTACATGGACAAATGTTTTGGTATTTTCCCTCGGTACCAGCTATAAGAACAATTCAACTGTTATTAAGATGGTTTAAAAGTGCCAGGCTATAAAAAGTTGACAAGTTCTCTATACAGAAAAAAACTGTTCTGCTAACTGAAATGAAAAAAAAATGTGTTGATGAAAATTACACAATTAAGAATTATTGTGTCAATGTCTCTGGGCCACTAACTTATTTCAATATTTTGTATGTTCCGAAAGATTATAACTGTTTTATTTCACTTGTACCATTATACATATGATCCACTATATGGAAGACCAACATTGTTTGTCCAAAAAAAACAAAATCACTAATAAAATTTTCAACCATATTATAATAATGTAAATTATTATGTTAGACCTTAAAATGTTTTAGCATTCTAGTTTTCAGACATTTTACAGCTATAAAAGCTTTCTTTATTGCCAATATGAATATAATTGAACATTTATTTCACAGATACAAGTGGACAAACTGCATTTGTCTTTTATTTTTTATACAAACACAATGTTACTTATAAAATGTTAATGTTATTAACAAAAATAAAATGTTAGTGTCAATTTTTCTTCTTTCCCAGATCAATACTCTAGTTGAGCTTTGTGTCAAATATTTAGAAAAATCAATGAGTGAGCTCAACTGTCTTGCTGCTATGACTCTGGCAGAAGCGCATGTTCACAAGCCTATGTATGATTTTGCCTTGCGCTATGCATGTCTGCACTTTGATATAGTAAAAAATGATGAAGATTTTGTAAAGCTTTCAACCAAATGCATCATTGATTTGTTGAAAGACAGAAGATTAAAATGCTCATCTGAAGAAGAGGTAATAACAAATTTTCAAATAAAGGTTTACAGTATGTATAGTGCAGGTGGTAGTAATTGAAGAGGAATAGATTGTTATATTTAATTAGCAACATTAAAGGCTGCTTATTTTTCTACTGATAATGAATAAAAAATTTTTTTGCCAGGTGTATGAAGCTGCTATAAAATGGCTTGACAGCGATGTAGACCATAGAAAACCATATCGTTATAAAGTTCTGTCTTGTATCAAGTTTCCCCATATAAGCCAAAGCTATCTAATAGACGTTGTAATAAAGGCAGGACACTTAGCTGATGACCAGCGTGGCAGAGAATTGTTGGACGAAGCTGTCCTATATCACACAGTGCCTTCTCGCAGACACATGTTGCCTTCTTATCAGGTACAATCAGTTATTACTTTCTTTACAGCTATTTTTGTTATGTGATATTAATTTTTGCAAGTTCAGTTCTTACATTTATTAGGAGTAGTAAAATATTTCATTTGAACACCTTTAATTTTTTTTTTTCAAAAAAAATATTTTTAGAATACTGTTATTTTACTTTAACATAAAAACTTTTTTCAGTTCACTCCTAGATTTACATTTCCATACTATGAATGTGCCATTCTTCTTGGTGGCCGTCTTCTTGATGGACTGAGCAATGATGTAGAATGCTACAGATCAGATCTTCAGGAGTTCTCACAGTTACGAACACTGCCCTTCAAAAAGAGAAATGAATTTGCTGCCTGCGCTGTTGGTGATGAAATCTATGTCTCAGGAGGCCTAAGAAGCTCTGAGTTTTGGAAATATGATCCAACTTTTGATACGTGGCTTCGTGGGGCCAATATGCTTGTAGCACGTCGCCGTCATGCTATGGCAGCTGTAGATCACACAATCTATGTGCTAGGTGGCTTTGATGAAGAAATGGTTTTAGATTCCATTGAGAAATGGGAGAAGAAACTCAATAAATGGGAGGATGCTGGTAGACTTTCCCAAGCTGTAGAAAATATGGGTTTTGCTGCTTATGGAAAACACATTTATCTATTTGGGGGCAAGAATATTGAAGAATTTGTAACCAATACAGTGCAATGTTTTGACACGAGTACATCAACATGCACTGTCCTGCAGAAGTCACTCCCTGCCCATGACATGTGTTTAAGTGCTTGTGTCTTAGACGGTGCCATTTATGTGGTTGGTTTGGAAGGCTTTTTTCGCTTCATACCTGCCCAGGATGAGTGGGAACTTTTACAAGACATGAATCTTCCTCGAGACTTTGTTAGTTTGGCTATTTTAGACCAGAAATTATTTGCCTTTGGTGGGCGCCGGAGAGGTGCTAAAGATAATCTCTACTCTGATGCTATAGAGGTCTATAATCCAGAAAGTAATGTTTGGGAACAAGCAGGAACAATGCCAGTTCGCATGTATTCTTATGGATGTGTTCGTATTTTGCTTAGTCAGCATTCTAGGCAAATCAATAAGTAATTTGAATATTATGAGCATCTTGTAAAAATTGTAATAAAAAGATTCAAAACCATCTAATTTTATATTTGAAAAACTCAATTATTCGTAAATAGAATACCTATGTTAGATTCAAACAACGGCTTATTATAAAATACATACAGATGTTCAGGAATAAAAAGCCATTTTGTGTTCTGATACATGTTTTGATAAATGACTACAATAAGTCTTGCTTAGTAATTCTTCAGAAAAGAACAAAAAATGGAATGTTTGAAGCCCGGTGTAAAATAGTGCTTTATTTATTTCAGTCTCAATACTTGAATGTCAAAATTAAAGAATTAGGCACTTTCATTCAAACTTAGTTGAATGATTAATACAGAATTAATTAGCTGAATGATAAATACAGAATTAACTATTGAGGTTGTATTAAAATGTCTCCTGGATTGATGTTTCTTATTTTAAAAATTGTCATTTTGTAGATAGCTGAAAAGTTTGAAGTATGTAATAGCCTGGATATTATTATTTTTCAAACATCTTTTATTTTCAACTATCAACAACTTTTTTATTTAAGTAAGAAATAATTTAAATGCTTTTGCCACCATCAACGTGATCGGACAGTGTTTAATTATTGAAAATTGGTAAATTAGCTAGATGAGTTTCTAGTGTCTGGCTGTGATTAGATTGTAGTGGACTTGAAGATTGTGTAAAACCACAGTGTGTGATCTTTCAGTAATAAAATGTTTTTGTTTAGTTTTAAAAACATTTTCCTTGTTTTCTTTCTTTATTATTACTTACAAGTAGATCTTATGTAAATTATAATTTTGTTTTCTGGGCTGAATTATATTGGTTGCTCATCTGTCATATTTAATGCTGTTAATATTAGGAATTATGTGCACAAAAACAACATCAAAAATTCTTTTTAAAAATATTTTTAAGGTTATTTTATCAAATATTCCAAATGATAAACCCCCCAATTCTTCTGGTCTGGTGACTTAATTGCGTAAATTTCAAATCTGACTAACTAAAATTTACTTGATGTGTATTTTTTTTTAGATCTATGTGGAGTATCAAATTCTAAAAACAAAATATTAAAATTTCTTTTAAAAAGGAAAACACTGAGTAATGTTAATCTATTTGAAGCTTGATTTTCATAATATTTGTACATGTTAAATAGTTTTTCTGTAGCAATCAAGGGAGAAAAGTGAAATCCCTTCTTTAAAAAAGACTTACTAAATCAACATATAAAACACATCATGTAAAGAATAAAAATCTACAAATGTATTAACAATGCAAATTTATACTTATGCAAAAATTACAATAATATTTTTTTTGTCTTTGTTGAAGGCATCATATTTTTGGATTTAAGTATTCGAACTGCTTCTCTTAAATGTCTAGGCTGTAATGGACCAGATTCTCCCCACTTTTCCAACACATCAAGAGCTGAAAAACAAATTAATTGTTGTTTTTATCAAATCTGTTCTATACTTCAAAATAAATAACTCATTAAAAAAACGAATGCAAACTAGTCACTGGCCCTTTAAAAATACAGGTGGCAGCATGGCATGTTTTCCCACACATCACTGGATCTATACAAGTATATAGGAAACCTGATTTCATCAACCATAACTACTTCACATAAAGTCAAGGACATAATCCAAAGTACTGGTCGTAGCTTAGAAATGAGAGAAACAATAAATTTAACTCAAAAAGCTAAAAACACCTCTGAAATAATTCTGTTTCTGGGTAGCCTTATCTAGGTTAACTAAATGTTATTTTTTAGTTTTGAAACAGGTATATTATGGACCAATGATAATACCCCCAGCCTTAAGGTATTTATTATTATTAAAAAAAAAAAAAATTAATCACAGGCATAAAAATAAACATTTTTGAAAGTAAAATATAATTAAATTGTCACATTCTTCACAAGTAGCCAAAATTGCTCAATGTTACGAGTAATTTTTTGGTCTATGACAAAAACCTCATATATAACATACATCATAATAGTCCTGCATCTATGAGTCAATCTAAAGAAAATAATTGTCGGCAGATGGCATTTGAATACTTATTGTTAAAAATGTTAGATGCAAAACTCATTCAAAGTTGCTCCAAGATAATTTTTTAATTACATATAATTTAAATAATAATGTTATAGAAAATAAAAAGTGACAAAACTTTACCAGTTTCAATAACTTCTCCAACAAAAACTTTTGAAATTCCAGACATGGCAATAACAACATTCTGTGATACACTGGTCCCTGTTATGTTTTGCATTAACTGAAAAAGAAAAATATAAATTCCGATGAAAAGAAACCTTAACTCCATTTGTATTAGTTTTTTTAAAACTTTATTTTAATTTAAGTTTGCTATTTTTTTTTTTTAGTTATAGATCTATATTTAAAATTTAAAAAAAACTTTAATTACTTCTTAATAAAAGAAATAAACAGAAAATCTCTTACAATAATTTAATTAATTTAAACAAAGGTGTAGGAAGCAGCTGGTAAATCACTGAAATTTTTTTCAACACCAATTATTTAATATGTAGAAATCATTTGCAAGCTAGAAATGCTTCAGTTCAATTGATACTTACTCTTTTTATTGCAGCTTTTGGAAAAGTTGCTCTTCTATACATTTCATACCTATTTAATTGCTCTTCAGAGAAGTTGGATACCAGAACCCTAGATTTGTTTTTAAAAAAAAAAAGAAAATCAGTGCTTGAAATGCCTGCTAATCCTAAATTTTTGAACTATGAATTTCCATTAGAACATTTTATCTTTGTCTGAAGGATTCAATAATATCTTTAGGAAATTAAAAATAATTTCCAAAATTAAATTACTTTCTTGAGGTCTAAACAAATTTATTTTGTGAAAATAATTACATAATTAACAAAAATAGCCTTATTTAATATTTTCATTCATTGATAATGATATACTGAATTTGTAGTCTATGTGAACATGTTTTTTATTGAAATAAACACGTTCTATAATTTTATTGTTTATTCAGTATAAAAATACATTACATTAATTTGCAATGTAAAAAATTGATAGAAAGTAAAAGGATGTAAGTAAACATTTAATTACAAATGAATATATACAATCATTAACCACTCCTTTTATAGACTTTTAGAAGAGCTTCACCATTTTATTTGGAGCACATAAGATGAAAGCTGAAGCCAATGAAGCAGCTGTTAAAAACAACAAAGTGATGACAACAATTGATTTCCAAAAATCTAGTTACTTTAATTATTCATTGAACATTTAATAATGTACCAAATAGGTTATAAGTGAAAAGGACACATTTAATAATGAAAGTAAATTCAGCTTAGCATTTAGTTTCCACAGATGAAGCAGCAAACATTTATAAGCCTTCATTGGAACTTTAAGATAAATGTTAAAATTAACCAGCTTACTAAAGCTATTATTTTTTTTTTTATAAAGAGTTGGGGGGGGGGGGGGGGGGGGGGAAGAGAGAGAAAAGAAAGGACAAAATGCAGGTTTTTATGTCTGTCTGAATACAGATTTTAAAAGATTTTCAAACAGATGAGCAAGATTCATATAGGATGAAAGTAGTATATTTGTTTGGGAGAGTGAGTAGTTGTGCTGCAAGAGTATTTTGTGTAAAGATAAAGTGTATGAAAAGCAGTATAATGTTTTTGTGTAGGGCCTGTATTGAGTGAAGTGGAAAATTAGTTTTGCCTGGTTGTGGAAGTTTTATCATGTGTCATCTGTTAAAAGTTTTGTTTGTTCTGTAACTGTGGTGTTATAAATGTTTCTAGATCTAGTCCATAAGCTAACATCTGAATATTAGTAGCACAGTAAGTCTAACCTCTCACAGCTGGATAGCTCAAACAAATAACACATCTCCATAGTCTTCTTCTTCGTTCTTAATTTTAGTGTTGGAAGGGATCCCCAACCAAGAACAAACTACAAGGCAGCAGTTGTTTGATTTTGGAGTTTTCTCTCCTAGAAGAGTGGCTGTCCCCAGCTTTACCGACTGAACCACGCCAACCCCATGACCACTGGATGATTGTGCCTTGGAAATCCAATCACAAAGCCTGGGCAGCAATATGAGAAGGATTGTATTTTGCCCTCTCCCCACACAGCTATGTTCCCAATGGAGAAGCATTAGCTATACAACTTGCCATCAGCTGGTAATCATATTGCCTAAGGGGCTCCACTCCTGTTTAAGTTTGGAGTTTTCTCTACTAGATGGCTCGCTGACCCCAGCTAACGAGCCTCATTTGCCAGCTGGTTTGAACTCAGGATTTTCAGGTTAGCAGCCATGCACATAACCACCCAATACCCTGGTTGTATTGATTCAGTGGAACATGAAACATTTTTTAGATGGATTGGCCAAACATTAAAGGGCTGGTATATTGATGGAATATGTAGAGTAGTCAAAAAAAAAGAAAAGTGCCACTGGACATAACAGAATGGAAATGTAACAGAATGAACAGGCGTGAGGTTAAATATTAGCTCAGGTTCCCTTAATGGAGAAGAACGGATGTTGGTTTAACCAGATGCTTTAAGCAGACACAAAATCAACTTAACTGCGTAACACTCTCTGCTGAATCATGTCATAAACTATTGTTAAACTGCTTGATTATAAACAAAACAACAAACAAGGAAACAATGTTATATATTAGAACTGCTAACAAATAAAGTGTGAATTTTAAAAGTTGAGACTGAAAATAGTTTCAACATTAATAATAAAATTTTAAGATATAAAACTTAGGCTGTTTTAAGTTCATTTATACCTTTCTTTCATGGATGCTTTACTTAGAACAAAAAGGAAAAAATATCAAACAAATTAAAAACGTAAATAAAAATAGAGAGAAATTACAGTAAACAAAAGAAGAAAAGGTTCAGCGAGTTTGCACTAAAATTATTGCTGAATCTAGTTTTAAATAAAGCAATCTAAATAAGACAATACAAGAAAATATATTTTTGAAATTCCACTAAAAAATATAATTAATAAAGTAATGCTGAAAATAAAACTTACTGCATTTTCATTCTTTCTTCTTCTTGCTTTTGATGTTTTTTTACAACCTGTTTCATCTCATCTTCAGTCATTTCTAACTTGCGCTTTTTATCCTGAGATGTTCCTGCTAAATTTGATGTAGTAGGTTTTTCCATAGCAGGACTATCTTTCTTACTCCCCATATTTTCTGGTGTCTTCTCTCTGTCTGAAGACTTTTCTCTTTCAGATGATGATCGTTTTTCTGGTGTACTGCCTCTACTAGACTTTGGTGATGATGCTAAAGAAGAAATCAAAGTGATAAAATAAATAATTAAGACTCTTTGTTCACTATCTTTCTCTACACACAACACACACACTAGCTGACCCTTTTTATAATAAAAGCCAGCACCACATCCTGCCACTCAATCTACAAATCACCATCCTACCCTCAAGCACCCCTTCTGCATGGCAACACTTTTCCTATAAGGTCAATCCACCTTTATCTTTACACTTTACTTATCAAGTTTTTAACTGCCTGATTCATTCATTTTCTGTCACCACTCCTGATACCGAACTTACTTTTAATAAAAATAAGCTATTTGAGCACTTGAAAGAAAAATTCAATTTCACTGTTTTGTTAGTTGTAGTAATTATCACATTTAAAAAGATAGATTTTATCTGAATATAAAAATAATGTCAAAAATGGAGTTGAAACAACTAACTTTAAGAAGGTGCCTTCATAAACCCTCATTAAGTTGATTACTGTTGCCCAAAATGGGTTGACAAAGTAAGAAAAAAATTAGATGTCATACTTTATCTGAATTCTAGAGTATTCTAAGAGGGAAACAGCTAAGTTGAACCCAGCCCTAAATCAAGTGGTTAAATTTAAATTAGGATCAATTAGTAAGTGAAAGGGCAATGAATGTTCTACTGTAGTTTTTCGTTAGGGTAGGCGTAATAGACCTAGGAATGTTAAAGGGGCATTGACAGGGAATGGTGGTGGGGGTGGGGTGTAATGTCCTGCTCACATACACTCTCCACAATCTAGTGGCTAACTAGATTACATGTAACACTAGAAGCATTATGTTACATTTTCCATACAAGTAATAATTATTAACTCATACCTTGTTTTTCAGCTGATGCAGAGTGGAATATTTCTCTGTGACTGCCATTTATAGTGGGACTGGGAAATGGACTTGGAGATGGACTTGCACTAGGTGTGCTTGTCACAGAGATATCAGTTTCTATTTTCAATTCTCTGAAAATTAAAACATGATTCCACTTTGATGGACAGAACAATGACAAAAAATAAAATTAAGAGAAATAAGTAATAACCAAGTGTGATGGTGTAGATATGTTTATGTTAGGATTGACAAAACACATTATCAACTAATGGTAGGTTAGGATAGTGACCTTTGATGAACACTGTTTTAGGGTTAGCATGTATTTATGGAGGATGGCAAGTTTGAGAATATGCTATGTGATTTGTTTGTCATTATAGATTATGTGTAGAGCAAGAATGACATAGCAGAATGACACAAATAAAGAGAGTGGTTGCAGGAAACCAATAGCAGAATGTTGGTTTTGATAGACTTTTAAAAAAAAAAGTAGATTTACCAGAGCTATTTATCAATATATATATATATATATATATATATATATATATATATATATATATATATATATATATATATATATATATATATATATATATATATAGTGTGTAAAACAATGGCCTACAAATTGTATAAAAAGATACACAAAAATAAAAGACCAGTTGTTTTACCGTGTGTTTGATTGTGAGTAGACTGAAGACTCAGACATTAATCCTAATGATGTCATTGTGTCTAGCAAGGCTGAGCTGCCTTCTTGAAGTGGATTCATAATCTTTAGGTGATTGTTACAAATTTGCAAACACTCTAAAAATTTCAAAATAAATTGAAGTTGGTACATCAATTATTTAGTTCTGAGTGATGTTTAATTAAAATTGAAATTATTCTTTAAAATTGTAATGGAATGTTTAAATAATGTTTGAATAATAAATAGTGGAAATACCAAGGAGACTGAACAAAATATAAATTACACCATGACCTAGGATTAGAATAGAGCTAACATTTGATGACTAGTAAATTATCCTAATATATAAAAGCCCATGTGCGCACTTCTCTCTCTCGATCTGTCCGCAAGTTTTGTTGGGGTGATGTGATCTGTATGTTCAGCGATATATGGAGAACTTAAAGATACGGACTTCTGTTGAAAATAATATGCTGGATGTTATAAATGTATAAACTAAATTTTATTTAAATAAAGAAGGAAAATGAAAATAAAGGAATATTCGAATGTAAAAACACAATTTTAACTATGCAACCGGAAAAGCGTTTATTTGTTGCGAAAAGAACGCAATAAACATTGACGTCACATGCCAAAGGTTTAAACTTTGGAAAGAACACAAAACTAATGGTGTCATCTTAAATAAATTAACTGTTTCATTCAAATTTGAATTAAATCTATAGATCTAGTTATCAAGATGTACGCTATGAAATGTATACAATTTTTGTTGCCAAAAGTAGTACACATCACTTTAAAAAAACAACATGAATACCATTGAACAGCTGGGTTTTTAATGAAATCATTTAAGTCTCTTAATCAGTGTGTTCATTAAATATGGTGTTGTGTTGACTAATAATGTATAAAAATTGGTTTTGCTATTTTTGAGTGATCCAGTGGAAATGTGGGTGGCTGCTGTGCTGGAAGGTGAGGGTTCGAACCCATCAGATGCCTTGTCGTTTGACACTTAATTTATGCCCCTATTATCAAAATTTTATTTTTTGCAGTTGTTCATGAAAGGGTTACGTTTGTTAATTTTTTAATTGTTTGTGACATCATTAATGGCATAGCTGCAAGAAAAAAAAAAAGACCTGCCTGTCCCTTAGATTTTTGCTAAGAGAAAAAAATTGAAAAAACAACTTGGGAAAAGTGTGATGGAATGTGAATTATAGTTGATTAATAAGGACATCTTATTTCACCTGATATTTGTTCTATGCGAATTTTAAATTTACTATATCTACTTTATCTAGATCTAGCTCTAGATTCAAATTAAATTTAAAAATACTAACCTAAAATAAATAGTATTAATTAGTAAATAGGGTAATCTATCGTTTTGGGTACGTAAAATCGCCTGCGACTAGTAATGTGAAAAACAGGTGACTCGTTACATTTTAATAATTATTTCACATTTTGAGGAGGATTTATGTTTTGAAAATTACAAAAATGTTTCCTTGTTTCATTTATGTACCTGTTTTTAAACAATTGAAATAAAACTTTTCAGTAATAAATGAGCACTAGCGATGTTTCCAACAGATGCAACCATGCTCATTTACTATAGCAGCCATCTTGTTAAAGTTTTATTTTTATAGACTTATAGCGCGAGATTCAGGGGGAAGTCACTCTATTTTACAAATGGCTGCTGTTTATATAGCAAATCTTGCTTGCAGACACTGCTGTTTAAAGTTAATTTCTGGCCTACATTGATATATTTAGCCATTGATTTAGGTTTATTATTCATTTATCTATAATATTTGACACAAACATATCACAAAATATAGTAGAATATCTATATATATAATTCTCTTCTTTGAGCCGTTAGAAAACAAGCTGCAAACGCTCTCCCTACCTCCCCACCCCTACATGGTTTTAGTGAGCTGTGTTCACTCTAAATGTTTACAAGCAGAGCCAACGATTTTAAACGTAGGGGGGGGAGGGGGGGAGGGGGGGGGGGAAGGAAGGGGGGGGGTTATGGTCCTTAACGAGCTACTTATAGTGTTTTAAAGAAATATTTTCAGTGTCAGCGTTGGTACTGTCGAATTCACAAATTATGAATTATTGAAAATTAGAAACAACTAAATGGCGTATGTTATGCCGCGGGCCGGCTCGTATAGTATATTACTTAAATTAGGGCCTAATAAATTTTAATAAATAAAATACTTTTTAAATAGGCCTACAAATAAAGATTTGGTGTCCTAGTTTTAGTAGTTCTTTAGGGTGGTCTAGCTACTAGATCTAGATTCTAGATCTAGATTCTAGATCTATATTAGATCCAGACTAAATCTAGAATCGTGAGAATCTGTATAGATCTAGATCTAGTATACTGTATTCATTAGCTGAGTGTATCAAGCGCAAGTGTGTGTATCTTGAAAATATAAATAGATCTAGAATTCTAAAATCTTCAGTTAAGGAAATAAATTACAGTCGGAAAAACAAAAATAATGTCACGTGACATGAATGTTTCCTACAGCCAGGACAAGCCTGGATCACAACAGAACCGTAGCACAGATTTTTCATGTATGGCTGCTGTTTTTAGAAAATCGATATTCCGTTTTTACAGTATTTAGAAATTGTAGAGCTACATATGGAGACAAAAAATATCCAAACCTATTTTGTTAGAAATATCGAAGATGGTCAAACCGTATCTTTATCGGGAGAAGGAGAGTTTTGCATCGGTGAGTCAGCTTCTTATTTTTTAGGCTTAGGCCTTAGGGCGCCTTAGGCTGCCTTAGTTAGTAGTTAGTAGTTAGTAAACTAGTTAGGGCCTTAGGGGCCTAAATAATAAATATTCAAATAATAATTAGATCTATAAATAATTAATAGACCTACTAAAAATTAAATTATTAGGGCCTAGTAAACTATATTTAGTATATTACTATTTATAGGTAGATAGAATATCATTAATATATACGAAGTGACTACGAAGTGACTACGCGTCTCGCAAAGCGTGGCCCCTAAAGAATAGACTACGCGTCTCGCAGGTTTGATTTGCCATCTTGAAATTAAAAATGCTTATTTTTTAGTTTTACATCACATCTGCTGCGGTTGAGTCAACAGTGTGCCAGGTGTAGTTTGAAGTTCATAGACCGGAGTTCAGAGTTCGAACCCGGGGTTAGCTAGTTTTTTGTTTTTTTTACATTTTTTTTTCATGTTGAAAATATGACGTAGACTATGATTCTTTTTTTTTTTTTTTAATAAAATTTCAAACCATCGTCACTGGCGTGATTGCTTGCCTTACGTTTACTATCCAGTGAGTGGAAAATCCCACCATGGCCCACGGTCGCGAGGTCACTGAGTTCAGCAGGCCAAAAGCATACGTCATAGACGTTCACACGAGATCGTCTGTCTTCACTTCTCTCTTCCTCCCACCCCCTCTCCCCTCAAGCAAATTGAAATTTTTTTTTGAGTTCACATAGGATAAATAATATAGACTTAGATCTACTATCACGCATGCTAGATAGCTAGGCCTAAAGGTTAAAGGACAGTTTGATTTAACTAGGTTGCTGCTAGATCTAGGACTATCATCTGACCCATCCTGACCTCACAAACTTTCCTTGACACTACAACACTGTACTGTTTGTTTACAAGTACTAGACTCTTAGGTGTTGAAATAATATAAATACACTTAAACTCGATCTAGATCTATGTCAACATTAAATTGTTACCACGAAAAAAAAAAAAATCGTTTTTTTTTTAGATCGCGTGCCACCTAGGGTAAAGATTAAGCGTAACGCGGAGCGAACTGCGCAAAGGCGGCCTTACGCGTAACGCGGAGCGAACCGCGCAAATGCGGCCTAATATATATATAGTACTAAGTAGGCCTATAGGCCTATACTATATAATAGTATATATTATAATAATAGTATAGTAGGCCTATAGTATTATACTATATACTATATAGGGGGCCTACTATTTAGTAAATTTTAAATTTACTATTATTAATATTAATATTAGGCCTAAAAGTAATAGACTTAACAGAGCTAGACTACTTATTAAACTTAAAACAATTAAACTTAGACTTAGGACTTAGACTTAAGTGAACTATTCGAAAGTATTACTATTAAAAGTAATAAAAGTCTAAATCTCTAACTCTAAACTCATATTAGGTTAATTTAACCGTAAAGCTGGGCACTAGGCACTATGGTACTAACTAGTTATAGATCTAGGATGATATTTAGAATCGACCCTTTGAATCCCGGACAGATCGTCGCCCCAGTTGGCACCAAGCCCCCAAAAAATTACTATTAACTAATCTACTACTTCTGAGGTAACAACCGCTACTCATGACTACTCACTGTTCCTATATCACAAATAAGGGGTCATCCATAAATGACGTCACATTTGAAGAAGGGGGGTCCATAATTTTGTGACGGTATGTGATGGGGAGGAGGGGGCTTCAGATGTTGTGATGTCACACTTTTGCATTATTATTTCTAGCAAATTATTATTTCCTACAATGTTATACCATTTAAAAAGTGGGTTTCAGAAAATAGCCACTAGCATGGATTCACATAGTTTCTGTCATTTTTATCTCCATGAAAACAATATGATGTATCCACATTATAATAAAATTTTCATTTGTTAGGCCTGACTCAGAGTGAATGTATAGCATGCTTAAGCAAATCACAACCAGCTACAGCCTCTCACCATGAAGAAGACATTGTGGTTCCATTAATGATTATAACGGTTTGGAAAACTTCAGGGGTTACTGTTTCACCAGCCAGTCGAGATCTTAAATGTCACTTAAATGGAGCTGACATTGGATCTGAAGCTAATATAATTCCAGGTCAATGATCTTTGATATAATACTAAATGTCTTTGCTTATTATTTTCAATTAAGAAATCAATATAGACATGTATTGTTTACAAATACTTTGGTGTTGAAGTCTGTTTACATGTTTCCTTGATTATAAGGCATAAAAGGTCTTATCAAATGTATTATTTTGTTTAAAAGTTATTTAGTTGTAATGTTTTGTTTTTTAACTTCAGTTTAAGCCATGGTTAGTTATCAATTATGCCCAGTAATATATAAAATAATATATAAAAAAGAATCTTATTATTTCCATAGGTAATCAAATTGAAGTGGGTGACAAAATTCTCGAGCTACTCGATGGTGTAGCAGCTAAACCACAACGCAGGCACCTGCCTCTCACTCCAGGCGTTCCTGTTCATCCCACCCCACCACCCAAGCCACAGCGCTCTGTCAATGGTTCCAAATGTTTTTCTCCAGATAGTGTTAGTAAAACTTCATTCACTTAAAAGTACTTGTCTCAGTTTAATTAAATGCCACCTCTAAATCAAGATTACTAATGAGACAAAAAGGACAAGACATACTGACTTCTACTTTTTTATGTTGAAATTTAAATGATAAAAAATGATATATAACTCAATAATTAATTGTTAGGAAACTCAAGTAAAAGACATTGGCCGAGATGCTCTCAGAGAATGGTGCCTTGGCCAACTACCAGCTACAGAAAATGAGTTGTTAGAGAAGGCAAAAAGCCCTGAACAAGTGAGTAGTTTTTTAGCATGGTTATGGCCTAAACCTGGCAGGTTCAACCAAGCTGGGAAGGTCTGCGCGGGTAGGGGTCAGACGAAAGCTAGCACCCTGGTCCTCCAGGTTGGGGGTTGAGCATAAGGCTAGCAACCTTATCTCGTAAAACAAATTACCCGCTACAGAAACGCAGACAGAGAGAAACAAAGACAGCTCGGACCAGGGGAAAAATGGATCTCCCGATGGAGAATTTATGAAGCCGGGTGGTGAAAGCCAATATGTATTGGAAACCACCAGGTCGACCACCATTATTTCCACTAGGACCACCATCAATATTGGAGCTTGGAATGTCCGCACGATGTACGAAGCTGGAAAAGCAACCCAAGTAGCAGCAGAAATGAGACGCTATAAAATAGCTATCCTGGGTGTCAGCGAATCAAGGTGGACTGGCTCAGGACAAAAAAGGCTGATATCAGGAGAGCTACTGCTGTACTCAGGTCATGAGGATGAAAATGCACCACATACTCAAGGAGTTGCACTCATGCTATCAAATCAAGCACAAAGGGCTCTCATCGGATGGGAGGCACACTGCCCGCGGATCATAACAGCTACCTTTAAAACTAAAATAAGACGAATAAACATGGACATAATACAGGCCTACGCCCCAACAAATGACAGCAAAGAGGAGGACAAAGACGAATTCTACAACAGGCTAATGACCATTATCCAGAACCGCCCAAGAAGAAACATCCTTATACTCATGGGCGACTTCAATGCTAAGATTGGAAGCGACAACAGAGGATATGAAGAATGTATGGGACAGCAGGGTTTAGGTGAGATGAACGAAAACGGAGAAAGATTTGCTGACTTGTGTGCCACAAATAATTTAGTCATTGGTGGTAGTCTCTTTCATCATAAAAGGATACATAAAGCTACTTGGGTATCACCCGACCTATCTACAGAAAACCAGATAGACCATATATGTATCATAAAAAAGTTCAGGAGATCACTTCAGGATGTACGCGTCAAGAGAGGAGCTGATGTTGCTTCAGACCATCACCTACTGGTAGCTAAAGTAAAACTCAAGCTGAAGAAAAACATGTTGGAAAACAAAAGGAAATACAGGTACAACACAGGCCTGCTAAAGGACCCATCTAAACTCAACGAATTTAAACTTCATATGTCCAATAGGTTCCAGGTACTACAAGAACTAATAGAAGAAGAGACGATAGAGGAAACATGGGAAAAAACTAAAAGTATATTAACATCAACATGCGAAGAAGTGCTAGGCCCTATCAAAAGACAAGCGAAGGAATGGATATCAGCAGATACCATGAAAATTATTGAAGAGAGAAAAAGAAAGAAGGTAACATTAAACAACAGCCGCACACGGGCTACGAAATTAAAAGCACTGGAAGAATACACCGAAACGAACAAAAATGTAAAGAAACACATAAGGAAAGACAAACGGAGCTATTTGGAACTGCTGGCAAGAGAAGCGGAAGAAGCACTGTACCATGGTAATATTAGGGACGTGTACAATACAATTAAGAAGATATCTGGTAAGTACAGTAAGCCAGAGAGGCCAGTGAAAACCAAAGATGGAAAGACAATACCTGATGCGGAAGGACAGATGAAGAGATGGGTGGAACATTTTGAAGAACTACTGAATAGACCAACACCAGAGTGCACGCAAGACATACCACCAGCTGAAAGTGACCTCCCTATAGACTGCAACCCACCTTCAAAAGAAGAGATACATAGAGCTATAAAGCAGCTGAAAAATTGGAAGGCTCCAGGAATAGATGGTATACCGGCAGAAGCACTGACAGCAGATATAGAAACTAGCACCACACTACTATACACACTCTTCAAGAAAATCTGGGAAGATGAACAAATACCAGAGGAGTGGAAGGAGGGACTACTCATAAAGCTTCCAAAGAAAGGCGATCTTAGTGCATGCTCTAACTATAGAGGGATAACACTTTTGTCCATCCCAGGCAAAGTCTTCAACAGAATATTATTAAACAGAATGAAGGAAGCCATAGATCCCCAGCTTCGAGATCAACAGGCGGGCTTTAGGAAGGAAAGGTCATGCATAGACCAAATTGCTACCCTGCGCATCATCATTGAACAGACCCAAGAGTGGAACTCATCTCTCTATATTAATTTCATAGACTATGAGAAGGCCTTTGATAGCCTGGATAGGCAGTCAATGTGGAAATTGTTGAGACACTACGGGGTGCCACAGAAAATAGTCAACATTATTATGTCTTCATATGAAGGTCTCAAGTGTAGAGTAGTGCATGGCCAACAGACTACAGAGGCCTTCCCAGTACGGACCGGAGTAAGGCAGGGTTGCCTACTTTCACCATTCCTGTTCCTACTGGCCATAGACTGGGTTATGAAGATGTCAACAGAGAAAACGCGAAACGGTATACAGTGGACATTGTGGAGCCAGCTGGATGACCTGGACTTTGCTGACGACCTGGCCCTCCTTTCTCACACACAACAGCAAATGCAGGATAAAACCAACAGGGTTGCAAATTTTTCTACAAGCCTGGGTCTGAACATCCACAGAGGGAAAAGTAAAGTTCTCAAAGTCAATACATCAAACAACAACCCTATAACACTGGCAGAAGAAGCCCTAGAAGAAGTGGATAGATTCACCTACCTTGGAAGTATTGTTGATAAGCAGGGTGGGACAGAAGCAGACATAAAAATAAGGACGGGTAAGGCAAGAGCAGTCTTCAACCAACTAAAAAATGTTTGGGGTTCGGGAGATTTAACCCTTAGAATAAAAATCCGGATCTTCAACACACTAGTAAAACCTGTTTTACTCTATGGAGCTGAGACATGGAGAATAACTGCTATAAATAAGAAGAAAATACAATCATTTATAAACGCATGTCTCAGAAAGATCCTGCGAATTCGCTGGCCTAAAACCATCAGAAATGATGTTCTATGGCAACGGACAAATCAACTGCCAGTGGAAGTAGAGATCCTCCAGAGAAAATGGAAATGGATTGGCCACACACTCAGGAAGCCTGTATCCAGCATAACAAGACAGGCCCTCACCTGGAATCCACAAGGCAGGAGGAAGAGAGGCAGACCAAGAAAGACCTGGAGACGTGACCTGGAAGAAGACACCAAGAAGATTGGATACACCTGGGGACAGTTGGAGAGACTAGCCCTGGACAGAGACGTCTGGAAAGCTCTTGTCAGCGGCCTATGTCCCAGTAGGGACGACAGGCAAACATGACATGACATATGGCCTAAAATAATTAGATTATTTTAAAATATATTGGATGCAGTCTTAGTAATCGTTTTCATAACACAGAGTGTGTGTACCAAGTGCTTTGCCTTTTTGTATAGGGTTACATGACATGTATGGGGGTGGCAGTAGTCTGTAAAGTTTAATCTTTGGAGTGATATTTATTCTCTTTAAAAAGTTTTTAAACTTGCTAATTCAAATTAGGTCTGTTATATGGTTGTTGATCCTCCAAAAACAAAAAACTATTTTTTATTTAAAAAATAAAATCCTGTCACGAGGTGAATAGTGACAAAAGTTTCCTGCCATTTAAGTGGTTAGTGAAAACATGGCAGGACTTAGTGTGATATGCATATTGATCAACAAAGTATAGAGTAGTATAAGCACAAATTAAAGTTACCCTTTTGGAAACAGCAGTCAGTAAGACTAAGTAAATTATATCTGTTTCTGTGCCATCAGCACATAATGGGGATTTTCAGAAAAATGTGCAACAGGAAAAATGCGCAAATACAGAATTATTATACTAATACAGTTTTATTTGGTCATAATCATGGAAAGATCTTGTTGAACTTGTTGTTTTTTGCTAACATCTTAGAATTATTGGCCTCAAAAAAAATTCTGTGTTCATTTTTCTGGTTAACTATTAATATTATGATAGTGTGGTCAGTTTTGTGCCCAACTGCCTTAGTTTTCCTAATGTGAATTAGGAACCTGTTAGGCCTGAAAGGGAAACTTTACTAGGATAAATTGGTTGAATTATTCTTTTTAGTTCTTTGAGTTCTATTAATTGTATAAAATAAGATTATTCTTATAAAACATGTTATTGGTGTTATTTTTCTTTTTGCCTTAAATGGTTTTATGGGTATCCCTTATACAGTAATGTATCTATACATAAGATCTAAAGATTTTGTTGAGTTTTTGGTTCTCAAATTTCTATTCACCATTAAATAGAGTTTTAAAGTTGGTTGGCTTAGAGTAGTTCCTTCACCTGCACAACTAGACCTTTTTTTGTTGGTATCAAGCTTTAATAATCTTGCAAATGATGTGTGGGATCAGTTGGTCAGAAGTAGAAATTACACTATATACTATTCCCACAATTTGAATTATCTGTAATTGAGAAATGATTTTGACAATTTTTTTAATTAGCTTTTTTTTCTCTTCTAGTTAGCCAATCTGGCAGCTAGTTATCTTACAAGACACATCAACTTACATACAGATGTAGTTGTATCCACTGAACTCACTGATCGCATTTTCAAAATGATGCAGGTAGTGTATTTATGAAACCTTTATAATTATGCTAGAAGATAGAAAAGTAATATCTTTATTTTCAAGTTTTTAAACCAAATTTTTAAAAAGTATTTGAAGCCTGTGTTACAATAGAAATAGTACCAAAGTGAAATAAACATGTAACTGGCAGATTTCTGCTCATATAAAACATAATAAAACAAAAAAAATTTTTAAAATTTATAACATCAAGCTTTTAATGATCTCATGATTTTTAGTGATTCCTAATTTATGAAGTTGAAAAAATAAAAAAAATATTTGCTTTAAAACATCATCTGAAAGACAATTATCTGCCCCTGTGAAAGCATCTGTCCGTGACCATATTTTGCAGATGACAGCCAGTTCTTTATCTTTTTGCCTCCCCTTAGTTTCAAATAGTTTAAAAACCTTATTGCCTACCCATTATAGCCTTCACTAGATCGACTGATTCTACAACTGTAAACATTCTTGTGAACCACAGCTCACCAGACTGATAATGTGATCGCATCTCCCCTTTAACCGTTTAAATAACCTTTGATGACTAATTAAACATCTAATTAAATTTAAAAATATAAAGACTTGTATTATCATTAAATAGGAACCTATCTTAAAAGTTTGAACGAAATCGCTGCATTAGAAGTTTGTCAAAATTGAGTTACAAGATTCGCCACGAACAAGCAAATAAACAAACAGACATTGCGAACTAAATAAAAGCTTGTAAAAAACAGGCTTGTCTTCAATAGACTTTTTACAAATACTAGCAATTAGGTTAGATTCTTGAGCACCCATTTTTGTATCCTTTCAAAATAATAGGAGGTTGCCCATCACAGAAAAGATATTTTACGTCGATTTCTTCAAGAAGTAATTAATGAAGTTGTGAGTGAAGAGAAGGACAACAGAGAGAAAACAGACAACATACAGCACAGTACAGTGACAACTGTACTTGTGGAAATATTGCGTCAGTTTCTGGTAATTATTTTAAGACTAACCAAAGCATAAAGTATAAGGCAGACTGGTTATATTTGTCAGTGTGATATTTTGTCACTGAATCATGTTTATAATAAACAGATCAAAATAAATGTTGTCAAGTTTGAGCTGACCTAGTTATTTGTTGCTCTAGATTGTATCCTCTTTCTCTGCTTTAGAGCTAACCAGAATTACATAAAAGCCTTCAAATTTTTTTTTTACAATTCACTCTAATTGCTAGGTGGGTTTTATTGACAGCTGATTTTAAAACCATGAATTTAAAGTGAAATGAATATATCTTATATCCTATAGTTTTAATTAAATAGTGATGTAGTTTGTTTATGATCAGAAAATATCTTTCAGGACCCAGGCTATTTGGTACTGATATGTTTACAACTTCTGCGGGCTCTAAGCCACATCCCAGGTAATGTGAAGACTATGGTGACCAGCCACACCACTGCTGCAGTCCTAGGCAGCATGGCAGTGTACAAGGAGGATGCTGTGGTACAGAATAATTGTTTAGATATCCTGGCTAAAATGGCAACTTATGTGCCAGCTGTCCTAGAAAAGGTAGGAGATCCTAACATTGCACTCCAAGTTTTGCCCAAGTTTGTAATAAAGTAGGGATAAATGATGTGAAGGCTTGCTTTAAAATTGTATGTTATAGAACACTATATTTTTTATTACGAGCTCTTGGTCCAAATAGCTATGAGAATTGTAAGAAGTCAGCAATATTCTATTTTGTTGAGGTCTCTTTTGATGAATGTATTTTTAAGCACTTCTTGTGTCCAGCTCTTCATTTTAATGTAGTTTCAAAAAGAAGGTTAAAAGTCAATGTATTATGTCAGCATGTCAAGGCTTGCTTTTTCTCATCTAATCTGTGTACAAGTGAAAATTGTTTGAAACAAGACAAAAAAACAAACAATTTTTTTTAACTAACAGCCACCAATGAAAGAATCAACAATAGATCTAGTTGTCATGGCAATGACTATGCACTCCAAAAATTTGACTGTAGTACAAGCAGGAATAAGAACGTTGGCTAACTTAGCTTCATCTCTTCATTCATTGTCATTTGCATCTATGAAAAGTAAGATTTTTAATTTTTTTTTTTAATTTGAAACTCCTAAGAGATGAAGTTTTATACGTTAGGAATTATACCATTTTTTAATCAAGAAGTAAAGTAGTAACGAACCTGGTAATCAATATGTAGATGAAGTAGAGTTCACCTGTTTCTGTAACCTCAGCATATGAAAGGATAGTGTGGCTGGGTAACCTTAACTGTCCCTAACATGAGTCAGGTGGCCATCAACCTTTACTTTCCCTGACACTTTTGGGTCAGTAGACGTGCACAAGAAGTGGAGTTGTTTACTTAAGGACTAATTATAGAACAGATAAAAGTGTGATGTAAACTTCATAGCTAGATACTTACTTTGTACATTAGTCACAAATCAATTTATTTTACCAATATATTTTTAGGATCCCCTTATCAGGAATTACGGAATTATGTGACAACTGTGATCTCAGTGTTAGAATACCTTTACAGCAACACACTGGCTCATGTAAGAAATGCATTGGGCGTCTTCTGTGCTGATCTGACTGTTAAAACTGATGGCAGAAGATTTCTCTTTGAGTATGCTAAAATGGAGCAATTAAAGTAAGCCTTTTAATATAACAGCTTTAATTTTGAACGCTGCTTTTTTTAATTAGTTTCAAAACTGATCAATGTCAATTTTAAAGTAAGGCTAGAGATATTTTAGAACCTCTTGAATAATGTTTTTGTGAGTAGAGTGTTATTATAATTTTTACCTTTGTCAAAGTTTGTGAAAAATTATTTTTAGAGGCAAGTGTTAAGTGTTTAGGGAAAGTGTTAAATCTTGTATTTATTGAGTAAAAAATTAATTGTAACAAAACTAGAGTGAGGATTTAGCTGTATATTTTTTCAAAGTTTGTGAAAAATTATTTTTAGAGGCAAGTGTTAAGTGTTTAGGGAAAGTGTTAAATCTTGTATTTATTGAGTAAAAAATTAATTGTAACAAAACTAGAGTGAGGATTTAGCTGTATATTTTTTCAAAGTTTGTGAAAAATTATTTTTAGAGGCAAGTGTTAAGTGTTTAGGGAAAGTGTTAAATTTTGTATTTATTGAGTAAAAAATTAATTGTAACAAAACTAGAGTGAGGATTTAGCTGTATATTTTGAGATTTTTAATTGACCACAATTATTGAAGAGTCATAAATATTTGTAAAACATTTCTATTTTTTAAATATTTATTTGGGTAAATGTATAACCAATTTTTATAGGAGCCAAAAAAAACTGTGGGAGCTTATGCCAGATGTGCCAATAAGAAACAAAGACACAAGAAGCAAGTCAGAAATCTCAGAAGATAATGTTGATTCTGGGAATGAAAATGACAACGAAGCTGAAGATATGAAGAATGAATGTGATGGAAATAATTCAACCTCTGGAATTTTAAAAAGATCAAGATCATTTGAAAACTTGAGGAATCCAGACAGAAGAGTTTCTTTTGTGGAAGAAAGTGATTTGGCCTCATTTTCTGATGGTTCCTCATCAAGTGAATCGTCCCATGGCTCCCCCTCCACTGTGATGAAGGATGGAAGTGACAGCCCAGACATTCAAGTCCTTTCACGCTCCATCATCTACCCCACCAGGGCCACTAGTGACAGTGTGGAGAGTGAGGTTGCTGTATATGATAGCCAGAGTGACCTGGAGCAGACGTTAACTCCCGCTAAACCAACCCGTCGACCAATCTTAGTTCCCCTTGTGCACATTAATAGTCAGTCTGACAGTGATGCTGATGTTTTTGTGGATTCCCCTTCAGTTACATCCTGTAAGGACAAGGACTCTCCTACTGTGATTACACCCTCACTCAGGTACTCTCAAACTCCTGTGGATCTGACAGACTTTCGTTTTACTGCTGCAGATGTTATCTTTATGAAACGACTAATGAGTGTGCAGGTAGGAAGCCAACCATTAAAACAAGAACTCTTTTATTATGAATTTTAAAATTGTCACTCAGCACTTCTGTTTTGTAAAATGGCATTTTACATTTTAGGAAATTAAACTTTTTAAAAATGTTTCTATTATTTATAATGATGAGTTAGTTCCTTGATACTCTGATGATTTCTTTGCAGGTGACATGCCATGTTTGCTCTGCTTCAGTTCAAGGCCAAAATCCCAAAGTCCTCAAACTATTAGACATGCCTCTGATGGAACTTTTAAGTCAACCAGGCATCCCTAATGCTGTCTGGCAATTTGCTAGCTGTCAGTTTGATGAAGGAGCAACCCTCATGGACATTGATCCTGCAGCTGTGATTGCCATTATAGATGCTGTCAGATACAAGTATGTTGACATTATAGATGCTGTCAGATACAAGTATGTTGACATTATAGATGCTGTCAGATACAAGTATGTTGACATTATAGATGCTGTCAGATACAAGTATGTTGACATTATAGATACTGTCAGATACAAGCTTGAGAGTAAATTTAATCACAGCCCAGCAATCATCTCCTCCTGATTGCCCTCCTAGAAATATTAATCCAGTCCTAAAAAAGTCCTTTATTTGAAAGAAAGAATAAATGAATGTACCTGTTTCAACTTAAACCAAAATTAAGTTTAAGACATTTCTGCCTCTTAGTTTTCAAAAACAACACTAAGTACTAATAGGTACAAGGGAGTACATTGTTCTGTGGTAATTGATAGTGTGTAATGTATTGTTCTGTGGTAATTGATAGTGTGTAATGTATTGTTCTGTGCTAATTGATAGTGTGTAATGTATTGTTCTGTGGTAATTGATAGTGTGTAATGTATTGTTCTGTGGTAATTGATAGTGTGTAATGTATTGTTCTGTGCTAATTGATAGTGTGTAATGTATTGTTCTGTGCTAATTGATAATGTGTAATGTATTGTTCTGTGCTAATTGATAGTGTGTAATGTATTGTTCTGTGCTAATTGATAGTGTGTAATGTATTGTTCTGTGCTAATTGATAGTGTGTAATGTATTGTTCTGTGCTAATTGTTAGTGTGTAATGTATTGTTCTGTGCTAATTGATAGTGTGTAATGTATTGTTCTGTGCTTATTGATAGTGTGTAATGTATTGTTCTGTGCTAATTGATAGTGTGTAATGTATTGTTCTGTGCTAATTGATAGTGTGTAATGTATTGTTCTGTGCTAATTGATAGTGTGTAATGTATTGTTCTGTGCTAATTGATAGTGTGTAATGTATTGTTCTGTGCTAATTGATAGTGTGTAATGTATTGTTCTGTGCTAATTGATAGTGTGTAATGTATTGTTCTGTGCTAATTGTTAGTGTGTAATGTATTGTTCTGTGCTAATTGATAGTGTGTAATGTATTGTTCTGTGCTTATTGATAGTGTGTAATGTATTGTTCTGTGCTAATTGATAGTGTGTAATGTATTGTTCTGTGCTAATTGATAGTGTGTAATGTATTGTTCTGTGCTAATTGATAGTGTGTAATGTATTGTTCTGTGCTAATTGATAGTGTGTAATGTATTGTTCTGTGCTAATTGATAGTGTGTAATGTATTGTTCTGTGCTAATTGATAGTGTGTAATGTATTGTTCTGTGCTAATTGATAGTGTGTAATGTATTGTTCTGTGCTAATTGATAGTGTGTAATGTATTGTTCTGTGCTAATTGATAGTGTGTAATGTATTGTTCTGTGCTAATTGATAGTGTGTAATGTATTGTTCTGTGCTAATTGATAGTGTGTAATGTATTGTTCTGTGCTAATTGATAGTGTGTAATGTATTGTTCTGTGCTAATTGATAGTGTGTAATGTATTGTTCTGTGCTAATTGATAGTGTGTAATGTATTGTTCTGTGCTAATTGATAGTGTGTAATGTATTGTTCTGTGCTAATTGATAGTGTGTAATGTATTGTTCTGTGCTAATTGATAGTGTGTAATGTATTGTTCTGTGCTAATTGATAGTGTGTAATGTATTGTTCTGTGCTAATTGATAGTGTGTAATGTATTGTTCTGTGCTAATTGATAGTGTGTAATGTATTGTTCTGTGCTAATTGATAGTGTGTAATGTATTGTTCTGTGCTAATTGATAGTGTGTAATGTATTGTTCTGTGCTAATTGATAGTGTGTAATGTATTGTTCTGTGCTAATTGATAGTGTGTAATGTATTGTTCTGTGCTAATTGATAGTGTGTAATGTATTGTTCTGTGCTAATTGATAGTGTGTAATGTATTGTTCTGTGCTAATTGATAGTGTGTAATGTATTGTTCCATACAGAATGCTTGCTTTTGATCTGGTCAAGAAAAGTCTGCAGCTACTTGTACAGAGTCTGACACTAAAGCTCCACACTAAGATGTTTGCTATAACGGAGGAGGTATTTGCCAGTGTCCTAAGGGACACAACTCTCTCATCTATTTTGTCAGGTAATAGTTGCTCCATTGACAGCTTATTTTTAAAGTGTCTTAAAACCATAGTACTAAACATATTTCACATTTAATAAAAGTATTTATGAAATTCCAAAAGTTTGTATTAATGAAATTCCAATTTAAGTCAATGTTTTCTGTTTAAAAGATGAAGATTTTGTCAGCTCTATTGAGGTGGATCTACACAAATTCAAAGAAAGTGTCTGCCACCCGTCTTCTGTTACACCACACGTTGAAAATTTAAATCTCCTAGTGAGAAGAACTCAGCTTGATGACTAGTAGATTACAAATTTTAAATGGCAAAAAATGGTATGTTGTCTAATATATTTTTTATAACTCAGTTAAATGCTCCAAAAATAAATCAGGCCAGCAATTAAAACTATAATAGAGAATTTGTAGAGAAGTTATAAAAAAATGTGTTTCCTCCCTCACCAGGTGTGTGTCTAGTAAAGGCAAGCATGACAGTAGTAGCTTGATAGTATACCTCACTTTGTATAGAACAGTTTCATTCTATTTGCTTAGTCCTCAAGTTACTGGTTTAAATTTCCTAAAGTCATTGGGATAAAATGTATTTTTATTGATGTATTTGTTTTACAGTTCATGCAATTAAGTCTGAAACAGTTGATTTTAAGTGATTATGGTGTCAATGTCATGAATTATAGTTTGTTGAGTTATGTACTTAGAATGATCATTGAAAATTGTTTCTGAACTAAACATTTTGAAACAATTTCTAAATATGATTGCTATTGTCATGTTAAAATATAAAAGAATCTCAAAATATTTTTAGACAAATCTAATTCCAGCTATAGTTGATTTTAAAATGAGATTTATAAATAGTGCACCACTAACTTATGAGCAGGTTAAAACTTAGCAATAAAAAAAACCTCATCAAGCTGACTGTATCATGCCAGTTAAATTATTTTTATTTTTGTATTCATACAATTTTTAAAAAAATCTTTTAAAAATGATAGTCGACTGGTGAGACAAATAACTCTACGGTGGTGAGACAAATAACTTTAGACTGTGGTGAGACAAATAACTCTAGACAGTGGTGAGACAAATAACTCTAGACTGTGGTGAGACAAATAACACTAGACTGGGGTGAGACAAATAACACTAGACTGTGGTGAGACAAATAACACTAGACTGGGGTGAGACAAATATCTCTACAGTGGTGAGACAAAAAACACTAGACTGTGGTGAGACAAATGACTGTGGTGAGACAAATAACACTAGACTGTGGTGAGACAAATAATTCTAGACTGGTGAGACAAATAACTCTAGACTGTGGTGAGACAAATTAGACTGGTGAGACAAATATCTCTACAGTGGTGAGACAAATAACTCTAGACTGGTGAGACAAATATCTCTAGTGGTGAGACAAATAACACTACTGTGGTGAGACAAATAACTTTAGACTGTGGTGAGACAAATAACTTTAGACTGTGGTGAGACAAATAACTTTAGACTGTGGTGAGACAAATAACTTTAGACTGTGGTGAGACAAATAACTTTAGACTGTGGTGAGACAAATAACTTTAGACTGTGGTGAGACAAATAATGTTAGACTGTGGTGAGACAAATAACTCTAGACTGTGGTGAGACAAATAACTCTAGACTGTGGTGAGACAAATAATGTTAGACTGTGGTGAGACAAATAACTCTAGACTGTGGTGAGACAAATAACTCTAGACTGTGGTGAGACAAATATCTCTACAGTGGTGAGACAAATAACTCTAGACTGTGGTGAGACAAATAACACTAGACTGTGGTGAGACAAATAACACTAGACTGGTGAGACAAATAACACTAGACTGGGGTGAGACAAAATATCATTAGACTGGTGAGAATTCAATCAAAACAAAAGTTATCAATCCTGAGGTGCTTTGAGAATAGCTGCATCATCAGTGTTTTCATTGGTTGAATCTTTTTGTATGACAAACCAAAACATGGATGTTAATCTTAAAACTTAATGAAAAGGTGTGTTTGAACATAAAACATTTCATTTTTATTTATTGTGCTGTTAAATGAAAGAATTTTATCTTGATCATTGGACGAAAAAACTTTCATGGAACTTTATGTTGCAGATTACAATTTGAAACAATAAAATAAAAAAGTGTTCATATATTTGAAACAATATACAAGAAACAAATCTGAAAGTATACATTTGTGTCACAAACAAAAACTAAAAGCCAACACGTTTTGCTGTGGGTCTGGAGGAGGGTGGTTCAAAAGCAATGTATAGAGGTTTTTTTTAAAATTAAGACAGCACTACTTTAATATAGTCTAATATAGTTTTAAAATAAATAAAACAAGTTGAAAGGACAACCATAAAAATTATTAAGTCAGTGTTGCATAATAGATAATTGATATGCATGAAGTTTGACTTCAATGCCAGCCAATGTTCCCCCTCCTATCCTCTACACATGTATATATGCCCAAAATCTGGCTCTTGAGAAATATCCAAAGCTAGTCTGATTTGACTTTTTAAAGATCAGACTTGAAACTTAATCATTCTATGTATTCCATTCCATTGACTCCTTGTTAAGGTTGTGATATTTTTCTTATTAAAAATCTTATTTTTTCGATTGCACAATTTACCAGAGTACTACTTTTGCCACAATATTTATACCTTGCTTAAATTGAAAATGGTATACATTTTTTGGTTTAAAAAACCACATTTTAATTAAGTTTTTTTAAAATTTGAAACACTTTTTTGAAAATGAAATTTAAAAGCTAGTATTACAATCAAGATCTCAGTATTAATAATTTTTAATGTTTTATTATTTTAATGATGGTTCATTATTTTAAAAGCCATTGTCGTTCTTCCCCCCCCCCTCCCCAATAGTGTATTTATTTATATGTTCAAGGTTTTAAATAATTAAACTTCAAGACTATGGGGTAGTTTTAGACTTAAAGGCCCTTTTGTTATTGAAAGAAGGGATCATTAAAAATCAGATTGTCAACACCTCCACCAGAAAGTGAGATTGTGTTCATTATTGTCTATATTTTGATGTTTCATTATGAAGCATATACTGCCATTTGCCTATGTTCTTGTATTTTAAAACATTAGACCCAATGTTCTACTTCATTTTGTCAGTTAAAGCATTGGCCATTAATCATGAAAAATATTTTCAGTGAATTGTTTTTTTCTTAAATGATAATGATATATTTGGTAATTATTTACTATATTTTTATTTATTTAACAATGTTTCAAGTTTGGTGTATTTATTTATTAATCCAGTTATTGTTAATTCTCTCCCTACTCCCTTACAATTTTATCTGGGTAATACAACAAATGTGATAGCCTAAATAAAAAACAAGTTGAACACACTGATTGTAAAGCTAAGATTTTAAACTTATTGTGCATTAATTATTGTACATTAATTACCTGGCATCATAACTTACATAACAAAATGTGTGAATATTTTCATTAATCACATGATATCATATTATATATAGGCAAGGGTTGTGACTGACCATGCATGTGGTATCACTTAGCTCAGATACTTCCTCTGTGATAAAATTAATATCGTGTGTATCACTTTTCTTAGGCAATGCTGGGGACTTAAGGGGCCACCTGTAACAGACAGCACACATCATTTTAGGGGCCACTTATAAATGACTTCACTCATCATTTAAGGGGCCACCTGTAACAGACAGCACACATTATTTTAGGGGCCACTTATAAATGACTTCACTCATCATTTAAGGGGCCACCTGTAACAGACAGCACACATTATTTTAGGGGCCACTTATAAATGACTTCACTCATCATTTAAGGGGCCATCAATAAGTGACCACATATTATTTTATGGCTACGTATAACTTAAATCTGCCAGAACAATTGTACTTGATTCAATACTTGAACTCTTTCAATGGTAATTCAATGTTTTTTAAACAGAAAAATCTGCATCCAAGAATAGCTTTGCTAGTTACAATTATTCATTATACATTTTATACACATAATTTACAATGTCTGTAGGTAAAAAGGTGATAGAGTTGATGCTTGTAGTGTACTGATGCAGACTGCCTAATGATGGGATAATGACAATCAGGTCATAAGGGTACCTCACTTGTGTAACTGACTTTCAGCTTTACTACCAACAGTTTTTGGTAAACTTGGCTCAAGATTATCCAACACATTTAGTCAACACTCCTGGTTTATGAAACACACATTTCAGTAGCTTTAACATATTTAATTCACCTTATGTAACAAGAAAGGTTATGAAACAGCACTATGCATGGTTGTGTTTTTTTTTGAGAAAGGGAGTTTATAATTGAATTAAAATTGTGAAAATAATTTTTTAGCTGATGTTTAGATAAGAAGTTTTGTAGTGATGTTACACTGATCTTTTATACAACCTATAGCTTTCTTGAGGTTTCTTCACTTCTTTATACTTGATAAACTATAATTTTATTTTCTGAAAATTATTAATGATCTGATGTTTTTAAATAAATAATGATGCTTAAGTGATTAATGAGATTGTGTTTTTTACATTAATAAGCATATATTTGTTCATATTGGGATGTTCAGTTTGTTCTGTTGCATTTTGAAGAACTAGTCATATACTTTAATATATGTATTGAAATAGATTTTTGTGGGAGGAAATAATTTCATCAAGATCCCTGATGTTACTTAAATGTGGCTGTTAATTATCAAAATAAATAGCAATATATATTGTGTGGTAAAAAAAAGATCTTTTAAATAACAATGCCTTTACATGTCTACATATTAATCAGATAATGCATGTCTTGCTGTCACTTTATTCAGTGCCCATGTCAGTTAAATCTGCATGTCAGTTGAATTGTGGTATATATTTTATCTATACCTTAGTAAGGTTTTGATAACAAGTTTAAAAATTAAAAAACTCAAAAGTGAACATTAATTATTTGCTCCAAGCTTTTTTTTAAAAATACAATCAACCTGACATTAGGATGTAGACATAGCTTTAACTTCCACACTCACAATTGTTTAAAATACACATTCCACATCAATTAGTAATGGTTTAATTAGAAGTTCACATGTGTATGTAGTAGTTGTGTAGAATCTCTGTATTTAATACAATTTCAATTTGAAAAACATGACTTGTTTCTTTTTTGGTGTTGTCATTTGTATATTAGTATGTTGAAAAAAATACCAAACTAACTATGCGTCAAATACTTTTATTACATTATCAATAAATTTAACAAAATGGGAATAGTTTGTCCAACCAATCAAACAGGCATGACCTCCGTCTAATGTCATTTCAAACATGTCAGGAGATGCATTACAACCAAAGCAAATGTGTGAAAATTATTCTTCAGCTACTAATTATATAAATAGATAAATGCATACATACTGGTAAAGGATGAATATAGAATGTAATGCTTTTTCATGTGATGATAAAGCTTCAATTGATGTAAATAAAAACATGATTTGTTAAAAATATGAAGGTTTTTGGTTTGGTAACATCAAAGATTAATGGATTGTTTTTACAACATAGGAAAAGCTTTTCTAACAAAAACAAGAAATTATTTTCATATCATATTCAATATAAAATGTTGGTAGAGATATTTAATCTGACTATAATCAAACATACTTCCATTTTTTTAAAATTTGAAACAACAAAACAAAAGAAAATATAATAAAAGAAATACTGCTTGAAATAAACATTTTAAACCAAAGAGACAATCACAGAAAAACATTGGCTTTAAATCAATGCAAATGAACTAATAAATAAAATGTGTAGGTGTAGTTGACATGCACAAACTTAGAAAAAAACTTGATTGTATTGTTTCAAGCTACCCTTAACAGAAAGACACTGAATATCAAAACAAAGAAATGAAATGTTAATAACGAGGTTCTAAGATAATTCCTTTTTAACTGCATTTGTTAATTTCATAGTATTAATTGGAATAAAAGATTTATGTACTTAATATTAACTATGCATGTACATGAATCAATCGTTAATTATTAACATAATGCCAATCAATCACCTTACAAGTTTTTAAAAAATGTAAATTTAATGCAAATTAATGAAAATAATAATTTTAAAAAAAAATCACAATGTAAATCAAAGAAATAAATTATTATGACACATCTGAGAAATAATTCTTTAAAGTTGAACAAGTTTTCAAAAATATTTTTTGTCTATTGTAGCTATCAGTTGATTCACAATACATTCTTGTGCAATTATGCTTTTCACTGGGTAATTTTATCAAACAATTTGGAAAAGAATATAAACTGTTAGACAACACAATATGGAATGAATTGCCAAAAGGAACGATTAAAGATGTAGTCCAAATTCAGAAGTGGAGGCCTTATATTGCCTTTATAACCTTTATAATTGAACAATCAAGCATTTTATGGTATATACTCCATCTATGAAGGGTTTATTTGAGTAGCTGGTTCAAATTTAAATGAATTTCTAATTTATGAGTGGGGAGAAGGAATATTCAATTCTGTATCATAATGAAACAAACTGCTTGCTGGAAAGAATTTAATTAAATAAACAGCTTTAAAAATCCAAAAATTCTTTTACACCCTTATTTACATTGGTCATTTGGTAAAATTTTGTGTAGAGGATTTTAAAATGTGTTTTAAAACAATTTGATTATAATTACAATATAAAATTTATTGAACTTTTATTCCTATTATTAAATGACCAACCTGGTTTAAAGAGGTGAATATCTTTCCTCTAATATATTAGACACACATAACTTCTAATGATAATCTGAAGTTTCATGAGACATTTAGAAAACAAAACAAGTACACATGTTTTAAACTCTAAATGAATTAAACTGAATTCATAATATTCAAATCAAATCTTGAGCTAGTAATTTTTTTCAAGTAGATAGTGGCAAGGCACACTTGGCTAGTCTGAATGAAACATCTCATATCAAATCATGGGTCACTATAAGTTTTGGTATTTCATATAGTCAAAATTGAGATGGTCTATAAAAGAACTGAAAGAAAACTAAATAAATACTAAAAGGTGAAAAATTATTCTAACAACAGAAAAAAGTGTTTTGTGTTGGTGAACTGTACAAAAGAGGTGAACAAACAATTATGCAATTTTTTTTTTTATAATTGTAAAATGTGTTTTAAAAAAAATCAGTTAAAATGCTTTATAGTCTATACTCATCCTTGATTACAACCAAATGATTTTAATTGAATACTTCTTACAGCTTTATCAGCAATACTCCTTTATTCATATTTTATAAAGCCTCACATGAAAGACATTTGCCCAGCAAAAGTAGTAATAAATTAAACTGGGACTGGTTGCCCTAAAATCAAAATGAATACAATGTTTTTATTTGTAAAATTCCTGAATAAAATGCCCGCAACTCAAGGGCTATGATGTATTTCCATGAGATCAAACTAAACCAAACTGAACCCAGGCGGTAAAAATATTCACATCCCTGCTTACAATAAACAAGGTCTAAAATAAAGTGACTGTCTTTTTAACTTTAAAAGTAGTTAACTACTGTAGAAACCTGGATCCAACTAGTTTTTTTAATTAATATAAACACTATCAAAATATTTCCTCCAAGTGGCAGATAAAACTGTACAGTTATTCTTGGTTTTCAATAAAGCTGCCAATTAGTAGGCTATATCAAGTTTTACACCAATGCTTCACTCTTGATGCATACAATCAACACTGGTATTGGTGTGAATGCTCACACATTTATTCAACACTTTATATCAAGTAAGACAAGATAAATGAAACTCACCTGCCAAATGTCTGGCTTAGCTGTGACAGTAAACAGGCTTGTTTGAAACATGCTCACAAACTGGTGATGTATTGTAATAAAAAAAAGACCTTGAGCTAACAACACTTTACTACAATATAAAGCTACATGTTGTACACCACCCTCTGGCAGATACTTCAAGAACATTCACTGAAAATATTATAGACCAGTATGCTAATGCATGTGTACCATGAAATTCATACAAAAAACCATACCAAACATACCTAACAAGGTTGGTCTTAAAATTTATAGAGTTCATCAGATTATCAAAAATTTATTTCCAGGTGTCAATAAATGTTTAAAGAAGACAATTTCAGAAATTACTTGAAAAAATGTACCTGATTTTTTAAAAACGGGTAATCACTGTAAAATCTTAAGTGTCATGTTACCATAAAGATTTGTTGTTATAATTTGCATTTTGATTAAAGGTTTTAATTTAAACATGTTTTAATTTTCAAATCCAAGTTAAACACAAATCAAGTTAACCAGATTTTATATGTATCTGGTCATTTAATTGCTTTTTGGTGTATAAGTAATATTGTTTTCATTTTTTTCTAAAGTTTATGAGATTAAAAGTGAAATTTCAATTCAAATGCTTTCTTTTTCATTTAAAAATTAAATTAAAATTTCACAGTAAAACATATTTTTAAAAATTAAATGCCCACTTTAAAATCACATTATGCCCTATTATATAGTTGATATTCACAGCCAATTTAATTAACTCTATAAATAACACTTAAATCTGGTCATTTAAGAAAAAGTATCTGTTTAGTGTTTCTGAATTCAATATACTGGAGATTTAATAGCTAGTTTTATGATTTAAAAAATATTTTTATGTATTGTAGTTCATGTGTGATGTTCTACAGAAATAAAAATCAGTTTTCAGGTGACTAATAACAATACTCATCACATGCAGCTTAGTTTCAAATATTTAAATAGCAATTTAATAAAAATTTGTAAAATATAATATCTCAAATAAATCATTTACAGCTTTTCTGATAATCAAAATTAATTTTTAATATCCATAGTATATAAAAAATATAAATTGACTAATGTTTTTTTTCCTTACAGTTCCATGGTTTTTTGTTGTTTTGTGCATTTTAATGTAACACTATGTTTGCACTGAGAGCATTCAATGGAACAAGTAGGCCTGTTTATCTAGACCATAATATCAAACAAATATTTGTTTAGAAAATTTTTGTCTCACACTGAATATCAATTAGTCTCAATATATCAAGTGGCATATGCATGCACTCACAAACTACAACAAAATCATTTTGGATAGCTCTTATAAGTAAACAAATAGCAGGTTTTGTAGCTAAGATTATTTTTTTTTTACTTACAACTTGACATGTATTTATTTTCTAGGAAATTGTGCAAGTTCTCAGTATAAACACAATGCAAGATCTGTAGCACAAAGTTTGAAACAAGTTCATTGAAAAAACAAATAAAATGCTAATTCACAACCATTCCTCCTTCTATTAAAAAAAAATCCCCCTTAAAAATGCTTATGAACTTTTGACCATCTGGATGCACTTTATTTACAGCCAATCACTTTTTCCTTTTCCAACAATCAGGATGTTCTTTTTTTTGCTGTTCTGCTTTGTGCCTTGCCTCATCTTTCCATTTTTGTCTCTCAGACTCAGGCATCTTGTTCCACTCTTCACTCAGTTTTGTACTTATCATTCTGAAATGTTCAAAGAAAATTGCCAAGTTACTTTAGGGTAAGAAAAGAGTTTCCTAGATAATCTTTGTTAGCAAATAAATCATAAATAAGCTTATTATATTCCCTTTAAAGTCTCTAAATCGATAGTTCTTAACCTTTTAAGAAGTACCAAACTCCACTAGTTTCATACTCGAATACATAAAACCCTTCTTCATAGTTCTATCATCCGCACTGACAACATCCCTTGAGACTGCTGAATGACACACCAAACCACTGAGTTGATCGAACTCGGGTTGAGAACCACATTAGTGCATGAAGTCTTCTTCTTCTTCGTTCTTAATTTTTAGTGTTGGAAGGGATCGAGCCTTATCTGCCAGAGGGTTTAAACTCTAGACTTTTTTTCCCGAATTTATCATCCATGAGTTTTATACTTTATACCGACTCGACCACGCCTCCATCACAATTAAGGTTATGCGCCATTGAGGCCATTGACTCCGATTTCAGCCTGCTTTTCTTTTTGGATTTGCTTCCATAGCCTTTGTCCAACCAAGAACAAACTAAAAGGCAGCAGTTGTTTTAATTTTGGAGTTGTCTCTCCTAGACGAGTGGCTGTCCCCAGCTAACGAGCTTCATCTGCCCGGGGGTTCGAACTTTTTTTTCGGGTTTAGCAACCATGCGCTTTACCGACTCTACCACGCCGACCCCTAGTGTATGAAGTGATAAATTTTTTTTCCCTTTAAAAACCCATATAAGCACTAGAATGAAAACCACAAAGAAAAAACATGAAGCCCAGAAATAATGGAGAACATCAAACTTGAAAAGGGATGAGGTGAAGTCTATATCTATGCTTTAAATAAGATTACAGACCAAATGAATAGCAGTTGATAATTAGTAAATAAGGTTTAACTTTATACAATTAACTCCAAAACACTATACAATAAAATAATTTTTTTAAAAACCTGTTATTCATTTCTGGATGCCTCTTGTTTAATTCTGCTCGAAAACGCTGAGCAAACAACATGAATCCATTCATTGGTCTCTTAGGTTTCTGACCAACTGCTAGTGAAGAATTTTGTTCTAGAGAATCAGGAACTTTTTTTGTTTCACTTGAACAGTTCTGGAAAAGAATGCATATACACACTGTTGTCAAATAGCAAAGATATATTCAGAATGAATTTACAATATATTATAATCTTATGGCACAAGCTATTTTTAAAGAATAGAAAAAATAGACTAAAGTATTATCACATTGCTAAAAATTATAATGAGTTAAATTTACAAATCATTAGTAGTTATTACCTTTTGAAAAAAAAAATGGAAAAATAAATGTCTGAGGTAAGTCTCCAAAAAGGAAGCATACTGATTACCTCTACCATCCCCCTCCCCCAATTCAGCAGTCTCATGAAAATGGGGTGTTAGCTGTTAATTTTCAGAGGACCTGTAAATATCTAATGAGCAGCTCAGGACACAGTGCATGCTTAAAAATGTAATACCTTTTTCTTCATACTGCTGAGTGCTATTGCAGCAGATGTTTCAGAATCATCAAAGAAAGACGGTGTAACGCTATGGACAAAAATAGTAAAGAGCAAAGTCAATTTCTGGGATTGTATATTTATCAGAAATTCTTTTTTGTAAACAAATTACTAATGCTCTCAATGCTAATTAATCTCATTAGATTTTTTAAAAAAACTGCTACATTTATTTCTGATATTCAAATATACTGAATCTAAATTTTTTAAATTACGCAAGGAACGACAACTTTATAGAGTAAGAATTAGCATTGTACTCAAAATGTATTACCTGCCTCTACTGTCAGGCCCAGGACTTTGTAAAAGTGGACTTTGGGGCCCAGTGGCTATTTTAGCTAATTCCATGAGTCTCTCTGCTGGAGACTCAACTATCTTAAGTGTAGGTGGATTCTGGCTAACTGCTTCGTTTGAGCTAGGACCTAGATTGGCAAATAGAAATATAATTTACGCACAAGAAGACTAAACATTCAGATTTATGCAGACTAAGACTAAACATTCAGATTATGCACACTAAGAAATTCAGCTGGATGTTTAAATTGTAGCACATGGGTGAGATTGCCTAATTAGTGAGAGTATCATGTAGGTTCAAAAATGGGTACACAGCTATCGTGTTTTATAATGTAGATTTTATCATTGGATGTATCGTTGCTTACATTTCAAAATAAAAAATTTTTTAAGCCATATTACCTTATGATGTTAAAGTTTTATTTTTTTCTATGACCTTACCTTGTAATGTTGTTCCAGAGGCTGCCTGTCCAACACCTGGACACTTTTTCCGCTTACGGTGATATTTTAAGCCATTAGCACTATCAAAATTAACAGCACCATTGGTATCATAAATGTACAAAATTTTGTTTTATTCATTATCTTTTTTATAAAATAAAAATAAGTATACAAAAAAATGCAAAGCTAAATTTAATTTAATGCTATTAAATAATTCTAAAGCACAAATTAAAAATACATAACATGTTTTTTCTTCTAACCTTTTAAAACTTTTTTTACACATATCACAGATGTAGCTTTCATTATCAGGCCTATGCTTTTTTAAATGATATCGATACCCAGGACCTGAAGTTAGAATGCGCCCACAAAATGGACATTTTTTGGAAGGACGGACATCTTTATTAGCCTTTTCTTGTTGATACTCTTGCATGCGCCTAGACTGGACATGTTTCCTTTTACTTCCCTGCTTTACAAAATACAAGATTAGAAAATGAGCATTTTTATCTGCATTATTTAACTGAACAAACGGTAACATTTAATACAAAGATTTTAGAAAAATAAACTCAATAGTGTAAAAAAGAACTACTTTTCAAACAAATGAGCATGAAAGTATCAATCTCAAAAGAACAGTATTGTTGTAGAAACACCAATGACATATGTACTGTACAGCATAAAAAAACTTACTTGTGTTAGTTGTACACCTGTTGACCCTACATTTAATGGTGTTCCATCGGTAGTGTCTCCGTCTTCTTCTTCATCATCATTATTGTTATCATCGCCAGTACCAGAATCTGGTTTACCACTAACTTCTTCAGATCCTATGCTAGCAATTGCAGGAACATTTACATCTGCCTCCTAAAATAAGCAGAAAATATATAATCAGATATAAAATAGTCATCACCTATGGTTTCAGTACATCATATTATCTACTAAAATAGTCATCACCTATGGTTTCAGTACATCATATTATCTACTAAAATAGTCATCCCCTATGGTTTCAGTACATCATATTATCTACTAAAATAGTCATCACCTATGGTTTCAGTACATCATATTATCTACTAAAATAGTCATCACCTATGGTTTCAGTACATCATATTATCTACTAAAATAGTCATCCCCTATGGTTTCAGTACATCATATTATCTACTAAAATAGTCATCCCCTATGGTTTCAGTACATCATATTATCTACTAAAATAGTCATCACCTAGGTTTCAGTACATCATATTATCTACTAAAATAGTCATCACCTATGGTTTCAGTCCAGCATGTTATCTACTAAAATAGTCATCACCTACGGTTTCAGTACATCATATTATCTACTAAAATAGTCATCACCTACGGTTTCAGTACATCATATTATCTACTAAAATAGTCATCCCCTATGGTTTCAGTACATCATATTATCTACTAAAATAGTCATCACCTACGGTTTCAGTACATCATATTATCTACTAAAATAGTCATCACCTATGGTTTCAGTACATCATATTATCTACTAAAATAGTCATCCCCTATGGTTTCAGTACATCATATTATCTACTAAAATAGTCATCACCTATGGTTTCAGTACATCATATTATCTACTAAAATAGTCATCACCTATGGTTTCAGTACATCATATTATCTACTAAAATAGTCATCACCTATGGTTTCAGTACATCATATTATCTACTAAAATAGTCATCCCCTATGGTTTCAGTACATCATATTATCTACTAAAATAGTCATCACCTATGGTTTCAGTACATCATATTATCTACTAAAATAGTCATCACCTATGGTTTCAGTACATCATATTATCTACTAAAATAGTCATCACCTATGGTTTCAGTACATCATATTATCTACTAAAATAGTCATCACCTATGGTTTCAGTACATCAATGACCCAAATGTGTGTAGGGCTACTGACTTATATTACTTATTACTAGACCAAAGCCAGTTCTAGTAACATTTACATAACGTCCGCAAAGAATTCTAAACTTAACATACAGCTAAACTGAAACCATCTTAACTATTAATTAAGCATCAAATAAGGTTAAATTTTTTATGTCACATTGAATTGTCTTCTGGTGTTAACCTACGTGTCAAATTTGAAACAAATCGGTCCGTTAGAAGTGGTTCAAATTTCGATCACCCGTTTCATTGTATGACAAAGAAAAAAGCAGGACTAAAGCACAACAAACCGAGAAGGCAAGTTAAATAAAAGTTTGAAATGAAAAAGAACTGTAGTTATTTGTGTGCAGTTTAACTGAAGAGGAACGTTAATATGAATTTCAAGAAAGTTGCAGCTGTATTTAAAGGTCAATAGATTTTAAGATTCAACTCTGTACGCCAGGGAAGTAGAGGAACGCTCTAGGGAATCCCCGGATTACATTATTGCTCCAGGCTCGGTTTAATCAACGAATATCATGAACCACCGTTTCAATAGTGTAGGGTGCTCTTTAAAACTAACGTAGGCGCCATAGTGCTCATAGGACAGCCCGGGGTGCCAAATAGCACCCTACCGAGGCACCGGCGGATGCGCCTGATTCAAATGAGTGAATGACTATAATGTCAAAGCTTATCCAAAGCCTATCGCACTGTTTAAAACGAGCGTATGCGCCATAGCTCTCACATGAAAGCCCGGGGCGCCGCCTGTGCGAACAACATTTTTTCCCCACAGAAACCTCCCCTGGAGTATTCTTATCAACTCCCCCAAGTTTTATGGCTGAAAGGTGTAGTAATGCATAAAGGACAAACAAACACATAAACTTTCATATCAATATATTATTATATAGACTAGCGTGCCCGTCCGCGCGTTGCCGCGGTCTCAGAAGGTATGACGTAATATATTAAAAACGGTTTCATCATTGCATTACTAATCCTATATTCTTAGACTCGTGATCTTGTTTTCTAAAACTGAATTATTTGAATGTAAACAACGTCTTCGTTATATTTTGTGGATCATACTTGGGGGGGGGGGGGGGTTCATCCATAAAATACGTCACGCTTTTTTGACGATTTTTACCTCCCCCCCCCCCCGTCACAAAAAGTCAGACCCCCCCCCTAAAATGACGTCACACCTCAGCCTACAACCCCACCCCTCAAAAGTGCTGTTGAATTTTTCTTAAAACATCGATATTTTTCCAAAATCTTGTCAGAACTCTGTCAACATAGAGTACTTTGACCAATTCCTATTACAATTTATTTTCTAAAACGCGAAATAACGGCTAAAACTCGTTTTCTAAAATTGCTTTTTTTATAATGCAAAAGTGTGACGTCACACAATCTGACCCCCCGCCCCCCCCCCTCTCTCCCCCTCATCACAAAATTACGAACCCCCCTCCCCCCCTACGAATGTGACGTGTTTATCCACATTACCGCTCACCACGCCACAGGGCATGCTGTATGAAAGCCTTGAATGTACGTTCATTACTTTTCGTATTAGTGAGGTAGAACACACTTTGCGACCGCCCAAGTGTCAGGGACGTAGCGGGTCGCTTTCGTGACACCCCCCCCCCCCGGTTACACTATCGCAAGGGCGTCGCGTACGGTCTATGGCTCGGTTTAATCATCGAATGTCGTGTGCCACCGTGTCAATATTGTAGGGTGCTCTTTAAAACGATAGTAGGGGCTTAAGTACACAAAGGATATTACGGGAAACTAAATAGCACCCTGCGGGGCGCCGGAGGACACGCCTAATCCGATTTAGTGAGAGATTATAGCAACCCATTGTATCCATAGCCTAAAATGAACGGCGCCATAGTGCTCACGGGAGAGCACGGGGCGCCAAATTGCCCCTGCCGGTGCTCCAAATCACCCCTGCCACTTCACCAGAGGACGCGCGTAATTCGCTACATAGTCAACGATTATTGTTGCCCATCGTGTCTTTAGTACATAGACTTAAAAAAAAAACGAACGTAGGCGCCATAGTGCTCACCGGGGAGCCCAGGGCGCTTGGGACACGCAGTCACCGGGGCACCGACTGCGTCTGTTGCAGTTTTACCGTTGACTATAATAGTACACCTTTCCCGCTATGCAGGACTCGCGATTAACGGATACCAAGTGCAGCCGCTCTGGAACTCCGGGCGCCGCCAGTAAGAATTTTTTTCCCCGCATATACCTTCTCCGCAAAGTTTTATGGTACCCGGATGAACGGTGTCGAACCACATTCAAGTTTTATTTTTTATGTACCTTATAGATTGAAAAATCGGACCCTTTCGGGGCGCCGCCCATGCGATTTTTTTTTTTTTTTGCAGAAACGTACTTTGGATTGTGGGAATCAACTCCCCATAGTGCCAATGCGATCGGGTGAATGGTGTCAAAACATAATTTACTTTGTTTGTATATACCGTATATAGAGAAGAATCTAATCGCGCCCTGCCGGGGCGCCACCCTTGCGATTTTGAATTTTTATTTTTTCGTAGAAACCTCCCCAGGAGTATTCTCAACTACTTCCCTAAGTTTCATGGCGATTGGATGAAAGTCGAAGTAATGCATCAAAGACAGACATACAGATAAACACACATTGCTTTTTGTATAGATTACATAGATTGATAAGATAAGATAAGATTGATTAGGTAGGTAGGTAGGTAGGTAGGTAGGTAGGTAGGTAGGTAGGTAGGTAGGTAGGTAGGTAGGTAGGTAGGTAGGTAGGTGATAGATAGATGATAGATGATAGATGATAGATGATAGATGATAGATAGATAGATAGATAGATAGATAGATAGATAGATAGATAGATAGATAGATAGATAGATAGATAGATAGATAGATAGATAGATAGATAGATAGATAGATAGATAGATAGATAGATAGATAGATAGATAGATAGATAGATAGATAGATAGATAGATAGATAGATAGATAGATAGATAGATAGATAGATAGATAGATAGATAGATAGATAGATAGATAGATAGATAGATAGATAGATAGATAGATAGATAGATAGATAGATAGATAGATAGATAGATAGATAGATAGATAGATAGATATAAGACTTGCAGGAATTAAAGTAAAAAAAGTATATTAATTTTGTAAGCAGCACCACAAGTAACAGATATCAATCTACTTTAATACAAATGCAGTTCATTGTTTTGTAGGGGTGGGGGGGGGGGGATTTATCTTAACCTATTCTTAATTTATTCTGTGATATGTGTGTATTAAAAAAAATCGTAGGCCTATAACGATATGCGTCCCATTTTTGCTTATTACAAGATAGATGCATGAAGTATAGAACGCAATTTTTTTTATATCAGAATTTAAGTTCCATCATTATTCCGTATTATACCAGATATATATAGGAATATAAAAATAGCGGATTAAAGGATAACGTAATCAAATATCACAAAATAATGTGACTATTCACATACATTCTAATCCATTTAACATGTAGATATAGTAACATTTTCAATAGGCACACTTGATATAGTGGGCTACAATATTTCTAGGATTCTCCCTCCACACACACATACACAATCAAAAGTATAAACTATAAAAATATTTTAATGTACATGATCGATGGGTAACTAGATCTACACTTTTTGAAATAATGAGTAAAACTTATAAATTCTATCTGCTAGACAAAGCTGAGCAGTCGCAAAAACCAAAGGGTTAGCATAATATCAATCAATCGATTTCTATCTACTTAAAAAGTTATATATTCTATTCACATATATAACATAATGTCAGGACATTTTTATTCATTATAGACCACCCACCCCCTCGAACGAAATAGAATGTATATAGAATTTATATGTAAAATATATACTATTACCAGTGTTGTCCCCCCCCCCCCCGCCATCCACCGGAGAAAAAGTCTGGAAGAAACGCTGCTCAAGCTATATTTTAGATACCGGATAATAGC